TTTAAATGTTGTGTCCTCTCTCTCTACCAGGAGTCTACTGCTCACAGTTTAAATGTTGTGTCCTCTCTCTCTACCAGGAGTCTACTTCTCACAGTTTAAATGTTGTGTCCTCTCTCTCTACCAGGAGTCTACTTCTCACAGTTTAAATGTTGTGTCCTCTCTCTCTACCAGGAGTCTACTGCTCACAGTTTTAATGTTGTGTCCTCTCTCTACCAGGAGTCTACTTCTCACAGTTTAAATGTTGTGTCCTCTCTCTCTACCAGGAGTCTACTTCTCACAGTTTAAATGTTGTGTCCTCTCTCTCTACCAGGAGTCTACTTCTCACAGTTTAAATGTTGTGTCCTCTCTCTACCAGGAGTCTACTTCTCACAGTTTAAATGTTGTGTCCTCTCTCTCTCTACCAGGAGTCTACTTCTCACAGTTTAAATGTTGTGTCCTCTCTCTCTCCCCCAGGAGTCTACTTCTCACAGTTTAAATGTTGTGTCCACTCTCTACTGCTCACAGTTTTAATGTTGTGTCCTCTCTTCACTGCTCACAGTTTTAATGTTGTGTCCTCTCTCTCCCCCAGGAGTCTACTTCTCACAGTTTAAATGTTGTGTCCTCTCTCTCTCTCTAACAGGAGTCTACTTCTCACAGTTTAAATGTTGTGTCCTCTGTCTACCAGGAGTCTACTTCTCACAGTTTAAATGTTGTGTCCTCTCTCTCTCTCTACCAGGAGTCTACTTCTCACAGTTTAAATGTTGTGTCCTCTCTCTCTACCAGGAGTCTACTTCTCACAGTTTAAATGTTGTGTCCTCTCTCTCTACCAGGAGTCTACTTCTCACAGTTTAAATGTTGTGTCCTCTCTCTCTCTCTACCAGGAGTCTACTTCTCACAGTTTAAATGTTGTGTCCACTCTTTACTGCTCAGTTTTAATGTTGTGTTCTACCAGGAGTCTAGTTCTCTCATTTCTAATGTTGTGTCCTCTCTGTCTCTACCAGGAGTCTACTTCTCACAGTTTAAATGTTGTGTCCTCTCTCTACCAGGAGTCTACTTCTCACAGTTTAAATGTTGTGTCCTCTCTCTCTCTCTACCAGGAGTCTACTTCTCACAGTTTAAATATTGTGTCCTCTCTCTCTCTCTACCAGGAGTCTACTTCTCACAGTTTAAATGTTGTGTCCTCTCTCTCTACCAGGAGTCTACTTCTCACAGTTTAAATGTTGTGTCCTCTCTCTCTACCAGGAGTCACTTCTCACAGTTTAAATGTTGTGTCCTCTCTCTCTACCAGGAGTCTACTTCTCACAGTTTAAATGTTGTATCCTCTCTCTCTCTCTACCAGGAGTCTACTTCTCACAGTTTAAATGTTGTGTCCTCTCTCTCACAGGAGTCTACTCCTCTCAATTCTAATGTTGTGTCCTCTCTCTCTCCCCCAGGAGTCTACTTCTCACAGTTTAAATGTTGTGTCCACTCTCTACTGCTCACAGTTTTAATGTTGTGTCCTCTCTTCACTGCTCACAGTTTTAATGTTGTGTTCTCTCTCTCTCCCAGGAGTCTACTTCTCACAGTTTAAATGTTGTGTCCTCTCTCTCACAGGAGTCTACTCCTCTCAATTCTAATGTTGTGTCCTCTCTCTCTCCCCCAGGAGTCTACTTCTCACAGTTTAAATGTTGTGTCCTCTCTCTCTCTCTACCAGGAGTCTACTTCTCACAGTTTAAATGTTGTGTCCTCTCTCTCTCTCTACCAGGAGTCTACTTCTCACAGTTTAAATGTTGTGTCCTCTCTCTCTCTCTACCAGGAGTCTACTTCTCACAGTTTAAATGTTGTGTCCTCTCTTTACCAGGAGTCTACTTCTCACAGTTTTAATGTTGTGTCCTCTCTTCACTGCTCACAGTTTTAATGTTGTGTCCTCTCTCTCTACCAGGAGTCTACTTCTCACAGTTCTAATGTTGTGTCCTCTCTCTCTCCCCCAGGAGTCTACTTCTCACAGTTTAAATGTTGTGTCCACTCTCTACTGCTCACAGTTTTAATGTTGTGTCCTCTCTTCACTGCTCACAGTTTTAATGTTGTGTTCTCTCTCTCTCCCAGGAGTCTACTTCTCACAGTTTAAATGTTGTGTCCTCTCTCTCACAGGAGTCTACTCCTCTCAATTCTAATGTTGTGTCCTCTCTCTCTCCCCCAGGAGTCTACTTCTCACAGTTTAAATGTTGTGTCCTCTCTCTCTCTCTACCAGGAGTCTACTTCTCACAGTTTTAATGTTGTGTCCTCTCTCTCTACCAGGAGTCTACTTCTCACAGTTTAAATGTTGTGTCCTCTCTCTCTCTCTACCAGGAGTCTACTTCTCACAGTTTAAATGTTGTGTCCTCTCTCTCTACCAGGAGTCTACTTCTCACAGTTTAAATGTTGTGTCCTCTCTCTCTACCAGGAGTCTACTTCTCACAGTTTAAATGTTGTGTCCTCTCTCTACCAGGAGTCTACTTCTCACAGTTTAAATGTTGTGTCCTCTCTCTCTCTCTACCAGGAGTCTACTTCTCACAGTTTAAATGTTGTGTCCTCTCTCTCTACCAGGAGTCTACTTCTCACAGTTTAAATGTTGTGTCCTCTCTGTCTACCAGGAGTCTACTTCTCACAGTTTAAATGTTGTGTCCTCTCTCTCTACCAGGAGTCTACTTCTCACAGTTTAAATGTTGTGTCCTCTCTCTCTACCAGGAGTCTACTTCTCACAGTTTAAATGTTGTGTCCTCTCTCTCTACCAGGAGTCTACTTCTCACAGTTTAAATGTTGTGTCCTCTCTCTCTACCAGGAGTCTACTTCTCACAGTTTAAATGTTGTGTCCTCTCTCTCTACCAGGAGTCTACTTCTCACAGTTTAAATGTTGTGTCCTCTCTCTCTACCAGGAGTCTACTTCTCACAGTTTAAATGTTGTGTCCTCTCTCTCTACCAGGAGTCTACTGCTCACAGTTTAAATGTTGTGTCCTCTCTCTCTACCAGGAGTCTACTTCTCACAGTTTAAATGTTGTGTCCTCTCTCTCTACCAGGAGTCTACTTCTCACAGTTTAAATGTTGTGTCCTCTCTCTCTACCAGGAGTCTACTGCTCACAGTTTTAATGTTGTGTCCTCTCTCTACCAGGAGTCTACTTCTCACAGTTTAAATGTTGTGTCCTCTCTCTCTACCAGGAGTCTACTTCTCACAGTTTAAATGTTGTGTCCTCTCTCTCTACCAGGAGTCTACTTCTCACAGTTTAAATGTTGTGTCCTCTCTCTACCAGGAGTCTACTTCTCACAGTTTAAATGTTGTGTCCTCTCTCTCTCTACCAGGAGTCTACTTCTCACAGTTTAAATGTTGTGTCCTCTCTCTCTCCCCCAGGAGTCTACTTCTCACAGTTTAAATGTTGTGTCCACTCTCTACTGCTCACAGTTTTAATGTTGTGTCCTCTCTTCACTGCTCACAGTTTTAATGTTGTGTCCTCTCTCTCCCCCAGGAGTCTACTTCTCACAGTTTAAATGTTGTGTCCTCTCTCTCTCTCTAACAGGAGTCTACTTCTCACAGTTTAAATGTTGTGTCCTCTGTCTACCAGGAGTCTACTTCTCACAGTTTAAATGTTGTGTCCTCTCTCTCTCTCTACCAGGAGTCTACTTCTCACAGTTTAAATGTTGTGTCCTCTCTCTCTACCAGGAGTCTACTTCTCACAGTTTAAATGTTGTGTCCTCTCTCTCTACCAGGAGTCTACTTCTCACAGTTTAAATGTTGTGTCCTCTCTCTCTCTCTACCAGGAGTCTACTTCTCACAGTTTAAATGTTGTGTCCACTCTTTACTGCTCAGTTTTAATGTTGTGTTCTACCAGGAGTCTAGTTCTCTCATTTCTAATGTTGTGTCCTCTCTGTCTCTACCAGGAGTCTACTTCTCACAGTTTAAATGTTGTGTCCTCTCTCTACCAGGAGTCTACTTCTCACAGTTTAAATGTTGTGTCCTCTCTCTCTCTCTACCAGGAGTCTACTTCTCACAGTTTAAATATTGTGTCCTCTCTCTCTCTCTACCAGGAGTCTACTTCTCACAGTTTAAATGTTGTGTCCTCTCTCTCTACCAGGAGTCTACTTCTCACAGTTTAAATGTTGTGTCCTCTCTCTCTACCAGGAGTCACTTCTCACAGTTTAAATGTTGTGTCCTCTCTCTCTACCAGGAGTCTACTTCTCACAGTTTAAATGTTGTATCCTCTCTCTCTCTCTACCAGGAGTCTACTTCTCACAGTTTAAATGTTGTGTCCTCTCTTAACCAGCGGTCTACTTCTCACAGTTTAAATGTTGTGTCCTCTCTCTCTCTCTACCAGGAGTCTACTTCTCACAGTTTAAATGTTGTGTCCTCTCTCTCTCTCTACCAGGAGTCTACTTCTCACAGTTTAAATGTTGTGTCCTCTCTCTCTCTCTACCAGGAGTCTACTTCTCACAGTTTAAATGTTGTGTCCTCTCTCTCCCCCAGGAGTCTACTTCTCACAGTTTAAATGTTGTGTCCTCTCTCTCTCTCTACCAGGAGTCTACTTCTCACAGTTTAAATGTTGTGTCCTCTCTCTCTCTCTACCAGGAGTCTACTTCTCACAGTTTAAATGTTGTGTCCTCTCTCTCTCTACCAGGAGTCTACTTCTCACAGTTTAAATGTTGTGTCCTCTCTCTCTACCAGGAGTCTACTTCTCACAGTTTAAATGTTGTATCCTCTCTCTCTCTCTACCAGGAGTCTACTTCTCACAGTTTAAATGTTGTGTCCTCTCTTAACCAGCGGTCTACTTCTCACAGTTTAAATGTTGTGTCCTCTCTCTCTCTCTACCAGGAGTCTACTTCTCACAGTTTAAATGTTGTGTCCTCTCTCTCTCTCTACCAGGAGTCTACTTCTCACAGTTTAAATGTTGTGTCCTCTCTCTCTCTCTACCAGGAGTCTACTTCTCACAGTTCTAATGTTGTGTCCTCTCTCTCTCTCTACCAGGAGTCTACTTCTCACAGTTCTAATGTTGTGTCCTCTCTCTCTCCCCCAGGAGTCTACTTCTCCTCCCGCGTGGAGCAAGTCAAGTTTGTTGACTTCTGTGGCAAGTACCGGCTGCCACTGCTGCAGTACCTCTGCTCACCCAGCTGCACCACAGCCTCCCCCACAGTCTGCTCCAGCCGGGAGAGTGACGAGGAGGGAGAGGCCTCGGCTGCCAGGGATAGGATGCAGAGAGTCCTGCTGGGCTGAAGGCTGTACTGGACCTGCTCCGGAGGATTATTTTTGCATTTAGTTATGTATAAAAACACAAAGTATATTGGTCAATTCTGAGTACAAATCAATTCAATATGTTAAATATATTTGCCAGAGGTTTTTAAGCAATATTGGTAATGTTTGCGAGCTGGTTAATACTTAACTTAAAAGTTGATGTTTTTGTTTTAAAGTAAATGGCATTAAGGTTAAGACCCGCCTTAACCCTTGTATTAGGAGAAAAAAAATGTAATGTTAAAAATTGCTTGTATTTAATATTAATACTTACCTCAGAATGGTGTCATTCAATTATTGTTTTATTTTGATAAGTATAATGTTTGTTTTATATATTCTTGAGGCCATTTTAAAATAAATCTGGATTTTTAATATGCTGACTCAATAATTCAAACAGATTAGTTGACTACTAGCAATATGACCCTGTCTAGTCAAGTCTACTTATTAGTTGTCTTCACATTGTGGTCGGTGTGAAGAGATTGTCACATGATGGTATTTAAGCTCTGTCTAAATACATAAATATGTCAGTGATATTTTGAACTTTATTGAAAGCAACCACTGATTTAGTCATATAATGGCTCGTCTTTATTGAAAGCAACCACTGATTTAGTCATGTAATGGCTCGTCTTTATTGAAAGCAACCACTGATTTAGTCATGTAATGGCCCTGTCTTTAAGCTGTTGTCAACCAAGTATGTAATATTTTTAAGTTTGCTTTTCCAGCATGCAATAAAATAACTTCAATGGGCCACCTAACATGCCAGTTGAAAATATTCTTCTATTTATCTTTTTAGTGTGAAATAAGGAATGTATTTTTGTTCATGTATTTTTAAAAACTGTATTTCAACACTGTTATTTTAATGTCATAATTCAGTGGCAACACATTTCTGATACAAGTTTGATTTTCCTGTTCGATCAGGTAAATTAAAATTTGTTGAGAAGGAGCGTCCATAAAACATTTGTCTTGTAAACAAATGTATTTTATTGCTGACAACATACAAGTATTCTTTCTTTCTGTTATTTTGTCTTCCTTTATTTATGTATTTTGTGTTTTATTTTATTTTTAAAATTCTTGTTTGTTCAGAGTTTAGCTATGAACTTAGCCATTAGATTGATGAAACAATGTCTAGTCTTCCCTCACATTTAAAAAACAAAACAATTTTAATTGTAAATTTTAAGTTTTCTGTGTATGTCATGATTTTGTGCTTCATTTTTATTGTCCAACTTTAGAAAGGGTAAATATTGTCAGGATATACCACCGTGGGGTTTAAAAACCTTTACAGCACTAGCTGTGAAGAAACTGTATTAGTGTTAAAGATGTGATCATTATTGGTGGGTAATTTTAATTTGTGTACATATCTAAATACTGACAATTGTGAGGTGATGGTCTCATTAAGGATTGAGATATATGCCTTCTTACAATGGCTTTCATTACCAAATTTTTTTTATATATGCACGTACATGCTCAGTTTTTTTTTATTGCAAGCACTAACTTCTGCCTTAAGTTTTTGTATAATGCATGTATATTATGAATATAATTTGGCAATTAATAAAGTGGCATTTTATTATCTACAAATATCTGTATATTTAAAATTAATGGCTGTTAATTATTTTTGTTATAAAATGCATTGTTTTTTAAATTATTAATACAATATTAGTATTTAAAAGATAGTATTAAAATTGGTTTTAAAACAAAGGATCAAAAGATAATTCTTAGATTAAAATTGCTTGAAATAGATGACATAGTATTAAAAAATACAAGGAGTGAAAGATTTAGTCTTTAAGTTTTCTAAAATGTATTCCTTAGACTATTCTTTGTGCAATTTTATACAACTTAGATCTTTAATTTCTTTTTTAACGACTGTTGTGATAATTTAAAAACCACATTCAGTTGAAAGAGAGTAAGCGTTGTTTGAAACATTAAATTACTTTTATTAAACCACAATATCAATTTATTTTGAGAATTAATTTTTTGGTAAAATGTAATTGAACTAACAAGCTAAACTTTAGGTCAAAGGTTATTTATTGTTATCTTGTTGGGTTTTTTAACAAAGCATTTGCATAATAACGCATAACTTATTTGCTCTTGGTTATGTACAGGTAACCTTTGTGCCATTTTTGCAACAGCATGCTATGTACTTTACAAGTCCTAGTCTGATTTTTCTTTTTAATTGATCACCTTAGTTCACACCACTTCCACTTTTTATTTTAACCCATAAAACAAGAAGACTATGCACTATAGCATTACAAACAATAGGTTTGCCTTGTTAAATTTTTTGGTCCTCAAATTTTAGTTTGTTTTATTTTTAAAAAGAAGGAAAAGTATTATCTTATGTCTGATTTTGAAAAAAAATAATTAAAATCTGAAATGAAATGCTTCTCTAATAATAGTGTATATTCAAGGTACTGTTGCTTTAAAAAGTTAACATTGGGTTGTTTCTATTAAATCCTGCCAGTTTATCTTATAGATGACATGTCAAGTAGCTACAACCAATTTTCTGGTTGAACATGTGCATATGTAAACACTGTAAATATCTTGTTTTTTTTTTTTTTAAATTCTATGCTAATGGCTTATACAGAATCATTAATCCACATTTGCTGTGAGCTACTGTATTATCAAATGGGTAAATACCAGGCTGATTTGTGTAATCTTGGTTATATTTTTATTTTTTGTGTAACCTTATAAAGAAACCATATTTGTTAACCATTATTATTCATAGATATTCATAGAGTATGTAGCATTGCCACAACCATATGGAACAGTAGACCACATGATACCTACCCAGAAGCCTTGAGTTATCCCAGCTCCAATATGTGCCCGACTCTTAGTTTGGGGAAAGAAAAGTGCTGACCACATTTTCCTTCATAAATGGGGTGGGGGTCAAATATAAAACATCTGCCTTAAAAGCAATCAGGTTTGAAAGGGTACTTCACTTTTAGCTATATTTCAATTTGCCTTATTTAGTTTGTGATGTTATGAAAGAACATTTTCAAACATAATAACTAACTTATTTTTTATTTAGTTCTAGAATATCATTTTTTAAAAAAGCTTCAACTTTGCATCTCTCTATGTGCCTTTCCTATTCTCAGTGCTTGTTGAAAAGGGTTTTTGTTTATATTGTTTTTCAGCTAGCTAGTTGTTTTTTTTTTAGTTCAATACTGTGATTGCTATATATTGAAGACAATGACTGCATTCAGTCCAGAACTGTGTAATTCGTTGCCTTTGTGAAATATGTACATTACAGGTAGATTAAAAATCTGAAAGATTTTTTCCTGAAACAAATGACTTTGTTTTTGAATTTTTATTTTAAATAAGTTATACCCAAACAACTGAACAGTCATATATGTCATTTGATTTCATGTATTTTATTCTTAGAAATATTTTTACTTAGAAAAAAAAACAACCAATGCCCCTTACATTCATAGCCAATACATTCATTTTTAGATTAAAATAGTTTGATTTTTTAAAATATATTGGAAAAAAATAACTGCAGGCAATCTACCATTCACAAAAATAACTGCAGGCGAACTACCATTCACAAAAATATCTTTTTCTCAATTCACCAACAGCACAATTTTGGTCAGTGTAATACAAATATCACACACTGACACTAACAGAACTCATCCCAAACACACCCTGCCAACATAAAAATGTCCTTTAAGAACACTTCACAAAATTGAAAGCTCTGTATTAAAATAACAACAGTGTAGTGACCTGATCAATTTCTTGAAATGAAATGATCAGAAACTATCTACATACAATTACTGTAAAAATGGTTTCACATAAACCACGCAAATTATTCTTTTTTAAAAACTAATTTACAACTAATTAATAATACCAATCTGTCACCATTCTACTTATATCAAGTATCAAAATGTACAGCATCTAATTAATGTAAATCAATGCACACAAAAACCTTGCACCAGTTCTACCTACTCAGGAGGAAAACAACAATTTAAAACCAAATCATGCAAAAACCAAAACTGACCTAGATCTGTATCTAGAAGGTACTTAAATAATTAATTGTTTTTCAATAACAGTGGCCGCATGGTTTATTTTTTTCACAGACAATAGAACATGTTAACCTAAATTACCACAGGCTGTTTCGTTTAACCTACCTATATATTATAAAGCAATCAACACAACCCCATTAAGTTTTATTATGACTTAAACCAGATAAAATATCCGTGTTGATCTTGCTAGATTTAAATTGTATATTGGCAAGAGATGAAGCATAATTACAGTAGTTTTAATATTTGCTCCCCGTTAAATAAACTGCACATCTTGCTTGCAGTAGCATACTGTTACCAGCACAAACAACCACTACCCCCCTCCCCCCAACCCAAACATCAAAAATGCTCTCCAGCATTAAAAAAAGTAGGCCTATATTGCTGTCAGAAATGTATAAAGCACGTCATCAATGTAAAAAATAGAAAGACAAGCCTCTTCTCTTGGATTTTGATTGAGTTCACTCACACTGTGGACCAGACTAGGGGTCACATGACTGAACACTGAGATGGGTCTGGAGCACTACCCAAGCCACTTAGGTTCGGCAGCTGAAAGAAGACATTTGGTTCTCTTAGCCAATTCAATAAAACCATACACAATGAAAGAAAAAAATTTTAAATTATTATTTAAATTAAAAACGAATTTTTGTATTACATTCAACATAAAAAACGTTCTTGTATAAAATTGAATGACATGAACATTAAAAAAAAAACTGAATCACAACAGAAGTAGAGAGCCGGACTGCTAACCCGTATTGAGTTCAAATCCGGGTTCAACTCAGTACACCTTCCCTGAGTCCACCCAGCTCTGAGGGGTACCTAACTCACGTTGGGGTAAGTAAAGGCGGCTGGGCATAGTGCTGACCATACATTATCCCTTCATATACTGCGATCACAGAAACAAGTGAACTCTACTTCACTTGCCATGTAGACCATCGGGTTTTTAAAGGGAACTTTACTTACAACAATATAAACCAAAAGCATGATAAATTTCATTATAATAAAGGTTATGGATAATGTGTTTAAAACTGAATCGCTAGAATAAACGCCAAAATTGTATTTTACTAAAACAGGATATAAAATGTGTTTAAGTTCACTGAATTCCAACAGAATGAAAGAATTTATTATCTGTCTTGAGTACTGAGAGTTGTCTTACCTGACCCATTTCAGCAAAATTAGGCATCATCATATTCCCCTCCCCAACAACTTCCTGTGGTGGGTTACCAAGCTCATGCATCTGTTATTGGCAGGAGAGAGTTAACACAAAAAACTAAGTATTGAAGTATAGTTAAAACTAAATATACACATGTTATCAATATGTTAACAGTATAAAAAAGTGGTTTGTTAGATGAAGCTTTCAGTAATAAGAGACTTCTAAATAACTGTGTTTACAGTAAAATGTATTGGTTTTTAGATCACAGTGTAACAAATCCCATACTATTTTAATGTGACATATTTTTAATTATAAATAAAAAAATTTCATGGTACATATTATTTGTAACAAATCATGTATGATTTCAAAGTTACATAAAATGTAAAACTAGTAATGTTACCTAACCCATAAACAAAACTGTTAAAGTAACAAATCTATTAATGTTATCTAACCCTGGAAACTGAAACTGTTAGTTACATACCCTTTGTAACAAATCCAGCAAAACCTCAAAGCGTGCATTCTTCTCCTCCTGGGTGTGATCGTCTGAGTCGTCCTCTAAGTGTTTGACTACATTCTCAATAATCTCCTGCTGCTTGCGGTACGTCATCAACTTCTCAGGTTCCAATGTATGCTGTTTCTCCTCCAGGTAGCTCTCATACTGTGTGGACACATTGAGTTACATAACTGGGCTGGGATGGCTTGTAACTAGGGGTTCACTAGGGACGGGGTTCAAGTATATGTGCCAGGACTAAGCCTACACAGCTAAGGTGTAAGTCGTAAGTAAAGGAAAAATGTTACCCTTTTAAAACAGGCGATTCGTGAGGCAGATAGAATTCACCTGTTTCTGTGACCATGGGATTGTGTGGTCAGCACTATACTCAGTAATCATCACTTTCCCTAACGTGAGTCAGGTACTCATATGAGCTGGGTGGACTCAGAAACGTCCTATGGACTCAAGCCAGGTACCCAAACTTAAAACTTTTGGGTTGGCAGTCATACGCTATACCATACAACCAAGCAGTCCTTCAGCTTAAGTTTAAATTCAAGAAGGGACATAAAACCAGTTATAAAAACTCCCATTTATGAATAAATAATATATCGGCTTACGACATGATGAAGCTATATGTAAGATGTACCACAGTAACCAAAACTTAAGAACAGTGGATGACAGTGGCTGGTAAAAAGTGTGATCAAGAGAGGAGAAAATTATTTAAACAAAAAATTCTCCACTTTAAACACCAACCCTTATACTAATTTTTAACCAGAAATGTCTTTAAGTTATCTTTTCAACCAGTTTCTGCAGAAGGTTATGCCCCTTGAGGATGTTACGGTTAAACTATTCTTTAAAAAAAATAAAACAAAATTGGTTTTTGGTCTAACCTTTTGTGAAACTTCTTTCAGAGGCTGGTACAATAACTCTTTAGACAGAAGTTGTCTGACCATACTCTGGAACATTCCACCCATCCCACCCAAGGCCTCATCCCCTAGACCGCCTTCCTCTCCTGCCTCAGCGCCCAATGTTTCTGCCAATTGTTCCCACAATTCCTGCTGGTTTGGGTCTCCCTGAAAAAAAAAAAACAACATACATTTAATTACAACAGCAGCCTGTTGATTACAATTAGTAAACAAACACTAGTGTACAACATAATAAAAAGATGACCATATTAAACAGGGTTCAGTACACTTTATACAAAATAATACCAATATTCAGTTAAATTTTTTTTTTATATAAATCATGGTTGAAATTATCATCTTTAAAAATACATTAGTTTAATAGCATGAGAGAAATCAGTACCTTAAGTCTGATTAATCACATCTATTCAAAATGCCTAAACATTGAGTGAACATGCAAAGGGAAGTAACTCTACAATACAAAAAAGGATAACTAACTAATTACTCTTGACCTGTATACTTTCAGCATTCATATTAAGACCACTCAGGGCTTTCTCCACTGTTTCTGCAAAGGCAGAGGCATTGTTGGTAGCCGCTAGAGACCCAAACAAAAAGAAATGTAGTAACAATAGCTTGATATATCTGTTTTAATTTTCATGATTTAAAAGTGAAACTAAATTTGATTTTTTTAAAAATTAATCACCATGATTGGTACTGGAATGAAAAGATCAAGTGTGTGTGTTTATGTTAGAGACACTTTAACAAGAGAAATATATTTGTGGCTTAGCAGTGTCAAACAAATCTGTGTAAAATATATGCACCTTGGCCTCTAAGAATAAAATGTTTGCATTGCACACTATTAGCAACATAAGTTATGAATACATATAGCCTACATTATAGTATTTTAAATACATTATATAAAAAAGAATATTATTAGGGTAACTAATTACAAATTAAATTTCCGAAATAAAAAAAGAAAAGACTAAACTAAATACACACCAAATTGAACATAACTAATGAAATGTTCATCTTTGTGATGAACATTCGCATTGTTCACTATTAGCAACATGAGTTATAAATACATTTACAATTACATTTCTTCAAATGAATTATACTAAAAGAATATTGTTATTGTTACCAATTACAAGCTAAATTTACCAGCTTTTTCAGCAGAGTCTGCCAACTCTTCAAACTGTTTTTTTAACTTCGGATCATTCAATAATGCACTGAAAGTATTTTCAAACTGTTTCTCCATAGCATCAGCCAAAAAGTCATAATTCATGTCTTCTGGCAGCCCATCTTCCTGGTGGTGAAAGACAAAAATAAAAAAATCTCAGAAGATTTACGCATTTGATTATTTAGTTATTTAATTAGCATGACCTAGTAAAATACTGTAAGACACGTTACTACAAAAATGTAGATGGATTGACCTAGTAAGACACTTTACAGCCAAACTCGGTATGAAATAATAAAATACAGTTAGACACTTTACAACCAAACAGCATGACCTAGTAAAATACAGTTAAACACTTTACAGCCAAACTTAGCATGAAATAATAAAATACAGTTCGACACTTGGTAAACAAACTTGGTATGACCAATGACTTACAGGATGCACAGCAGGTTTAGCTCCTGGTGGCTGCTTTGATGCAGACACACCTTCTGCTCCTGTGAGAACTGGTGGATTTTCTGGTTTCTTATCAAAATCAGCCAGAGCACCTTTCATAGAATGAACAAGTTTTGCATTAGCTCATAATTTAAGAATTAAAAAACAAATGCAATACAATACAGCCATAACTCTACATTCAGCACTTATTACGCATAATCAAACAAGGCAGGTAACCCAAGTTGTCTTAGCTAGCTAAGCACTTGATACACAAACATGTTCAATACCTGAGCATAAATTAAAGGTTTTAAAAGACATATGGAAATACTGTATACGCGCAGTAATATAGCATTTTTCATAACATTAATATTTAAAGTAGCAGATGCCATACTTAAAAAATTTATTGCTTCGGAAGTAGGCCTAGTTCTATAAAAATACAAAAATAATTAACCTAATAATTAGGCCTAATAAAATATGGCTAAAGTTACCATAGAAATTTAGATCTATTTGTTTACTGAAACTTAATCTCAAAGTTAACTTTTTAAATTCTCTATTCTGTAGCTTTTATAAATTTTATAACATTCACTGATTCTTAAAATATTAACTTTCCAAATTTTTTTCCGACTTAAAGTTTTAGAAAACTGTTTTAATTCATTGTAATAGGAATTGATTAAAGTACTCTATGTTGACAGAGTTCAGACAAGATTTAGGAAAAATATTGTATTTTTAAGAAAAATTAAACTGCAATTTTGAGTTTTGAGGGGGGGGGGGGGGGGGGGGGGGGGGTTGTAGGCTGAGTTGTGACGTCACTTTAGACTACTTTAGAGGGGTCTGGCTTATTGTGACAACAATGTGTGATGGAGGAGAGGGGGGAGGTAAAAATTGTCCAAAAAAAGCCTGACGTCATTTATGGATGACCCCCCCCCCCCCAGCCTACTGGCATAAAGGCAAAATTTATCGTCAATACATGTCACATGTATGATGGAAGGCCTTTTACTGCCATTTAGCCTTTTTCGTCAAACTTAGTATAAATTTGTAAATGTACTTGTGCCCATAAAAAATATAAAAAATTCATCATAAACCAAGTCCAGGCCAAGCAACAAAGTTGACAAACTTACTATAAACTCATATAAAGAAACTTGTCATAATCTAAAAAAAACTTTGATTTTGATAAAAATTAAATTAAAATTAGGCTAATTTTACTAATTTAATAATTTTTAAAGTTTAGTTTAGCTTGCTTAGGCAAGCCATGCGATTAAAATAATTTTGCTTGGTGAAAATTGTGATTTAGCTATAATTTTTTTCATTCTCGTAAACACTAACTGTCTAATATGGCGTCTAGTTCTGGATCTTCATTTTTTACAGTATCAACTGGTGAACTCTGATCTGTTTCATGCTTGGCAGTAGCGCCATTGTCTCCTTGCGACGCCATGTTTAATCAAATGAGCGTACAATATTGGAGTCGCATTTTTATTTTTCAACGTAATTTAATTTTTACATTGTCTTTTTTCTCTTTAATAATTGCCCTGTTGTGCTAGATTATTTAAATAAAAATAATACGATATGCCTAATTGATGTATTAAAGTAATACCAATCGAAAATAACGGATTATGTAGGTTACATATAGACTACATATTACTACGGAGGCAGAGGCGTAGCGACCTATTCCGCTCCAGGGTAAACCATCAATTTTTCACCCCCCCTCCCCATTTTTATAACACCTATGATCCAGTCGCCATATAACTTACGGAAGTCATTGAGTAGGCCTACACTCCTGAGAAGATTTCTGCCATAAACCAACTTTAAATATCGTAGCGGCTGTGCCTCGGCGGTTCAAGCAAGACTCCCTGGCGGCTATCTCAACCCCTGTGGTCCGCTCATTGGGTGTCCTGCACATGGGAACGGGGGGTACTACTTATATCAACCATCAAGCTGTGGCACCCGACACCCTGGGGGTCGTGTGACCCGTGGTTGTCCCTCTCTCCCAATGAGCAATATGAAGCCTATATTCGTTTATCAGAACGCCTTACACAATGAAGACATTGGACTACAACAATCGATAACTAAAACGGACTGGGGTACACCTTCGATATTTGGGATTACTAGGATTTAACTGATGGCGCAAACTGATGCATCTTGCTGATAATATGAGCAGCACCTCTAACGGAAGTGCAGGGTTTCTTTCATACACTTTTTCCCGGGGGGGTGGGGGGGTCGAGGGGAGAGGGGTCGTGTCGACACTGGATAAAGTCTGAAGAGATGCATGAAAGAAACTTTTGCAAGAGCTAAGTTTAACCACGATCTTCCTACAGAGATCGCCAGTCGATTGTCAACGATTATAGTAGCCCACCGTATCACTAGTGTATGACACTCTTTAAAAGGAATGTAGGCGCCATATTGTTCACAGGGGAACCCTTGGTGCTCCTGGTCACCCGACCGGCGACGGACGCGTCAGGTGCAGTCTGACCATTGAATCAAGTAGTTACAGAGGCCTAGCGAGGGGGGGGGGGGGGACCGCACCGGGTAACACCATTTAGGGGGGTGACAACAAGGCAAAAAATAGCAAAATATATAGAGAAAAATGATAATTCCACTTAATTAAGTGATTAATTTGAGTGTTAAATAGTCTTTTAAGAGGTGCAAATCGAAAGTTTGAGGGGGGGGGGGTGCAAATCAAAAATTGTAAGTTTGTCCTCCGGGGGTGACACCATTAAGTGCCGCACTGGGTGACACCCGACCTCGCTACGTAACTGAGTAGTTATATCAAGTATCAATAATTTTACAAACTTTCACAACCATCAGAATATGATATATATATGTGGGAGAGAGAGAAAATAAAAGTTAACAACCGCTTTGTCCCTTAAGTTGGTAGATGGGGAGGGAGGGGTAATCGATTTTTATTAAAACGGTTTCAAGTAAAATGGGTAATGAAAGTTCTTTCTTAACAACAAACAAACCATATTCTCCCCTCAAGTATGCAATCAACTTGTTCCAATAACGAGTCCAACACAGCTGAGTTATGTCAATAAATAGTTTTTAATTTCAATCAATGAGAAAATGATGACAAGACTACAAAAAAAAAAATCATGGTTACTTCCAGACATGACAGCTTGAGCCTCTGAAAATAATCCCGTGACGACAGTCCTGACACGTCACATTCAAGACTGTGGCACAGTACACAAGTCAGTCTTGGCCCTCATAATGATAATACAATGGACACACCCCAAAAAAACCTGACCATGTCATGGTTCTCTACCAGAGTTTACAGCACAACTACATTCTTAAATTTATCAAGCAATTCAAACATTTAAAACTGCTAGCCTGGAGGAAAACCTGGCCAATAGTGTAACAAAACATGAACATAAAATAACATTTTTGGGTAATTGCTGCAATGCTTAAAAATAGAGTATGCCTTTTTAAAAAAAAATCACGTCTGGCTATTGTGTCACTATCAAACTTCACTGCTGTATATAAAACAGAATGTGTTTCAGCCCTAATTTTAAAAAAACCACTATTGTGTACTTCAAACAATTCCTAACTCAACATATAGTAGTAGTAGTACATACAATGTATGATAAATATTTAATGAATTCATATACAACATTCACATAAGCTAATGTACCAATCTGCAATATCATTGTATAATACTATTATGATTTGTTTTTCAAAACTCAAGCAAATGTACCTGGTATACAAAAACACAAGTATTTTTTTTCAATTTAACTTTTTGATCAAGTAATTTTTTTTACAATTGAAATTTAAAGAGAAATATCATGAAATAAATAGGAATAGTAAAAAAATATTTTCATTAATGCCTTTTAAAAATGTAACTGGGATAATTAGACAATATTTGTAGCTTCTTAACTTGAATAAAACAAGAAAGAATTGAAATAAATAGCCAGCTGCCATAGTCTGAGATACAAAAGTAAGTACTGAAGAAGTAGAACGAATGCTAGCAGTTGCATCCATGTATAAAAAAAGTTGAAATAATCTAATATTCTATTTGAAGCACATGAGAAAAGAAGCTAACTTATAATTGATTAGCCTTTCTATTCAGATTGTATGCAAAAAAACTATTAGCTCACAACTGAACATTTTAATAATGATAACGACCCTATGAAAAATTAGAGAAAACAAAAGCACTTGTACTTTTTTTGGTTGAATGAATACGTCATTGAAAATTGTAGAATATTTAAGAAAAACAAAAGTGGATTTTTTCTCTGAATGAAAAAGTAACTAAAATGAGAACTTGCTAGCAAAAATGTTTTGTAGTTAAAAAAAAAAAAAACTTTCATGACAATCAGTATGCATGAGACATCACAGCAGAAGTTCATGTAACACAAAGTACACCTGCGTTATGTACACATTTCCATTATGCTCTATCTTCCACATGATCCCCCAGACAGGCATTAGAGCAGTCATGTTGAACAATAAAAATATTGGAATTTCCCAAAGCCAAGTCAGCTGGAGTGGGTGTGGTCTATGCTACACATGTAAACAATTACAGAAATATTGGAACTGCGTAGTTGATGAATCTCTTTTAACAGGTTACAAGATTACATTTCAATTAGTTAAAATTACTGAAGATGTAAAGATTGCCTCAATCCATGGAGATTTGTAAAACACAGTACACAATTGTAATTTATTAAAGATGAAAAATGCAGTTACAATGGTTTTAAAAATGTTTTAAGTTAAATGGACTAGCGCATATGGCAGCTTACATCGTAATAAGTAAATTAAACAACAGTTAAATGTAGCTTTGTACACAATAAATATAGCTAAGAAAAGTGTCAATTATGTACACAATAAATACACTTCTAGGTAGTAATTGCAAAAAAAAATATGATCATCATACAAATGCAATTTCTGGTTTTGAACTAATTTGATTAGCTTCTACCAACAATTTAAAAAAATCAACACTAAAAATTGTTTTAAATAAATATTTTAAAAGCCAGTGTTTAAAAGTTTATATTTGCACAAAAGTGTTTTAAAAACGTCAAACTAAATTTTAAAATAAATGGAATTAAACCCTGCTTTGGTCAACAATGGGTTTATCAGAAAAAATTTTTAGTGGAAGAAAATGAAACCATAGCATAAGAAAACCCTGTGGAGAGGGTGAGATCAAGAGAAAATGTTTAAAAATGACAACTGCACCAATGGTGAAGTCTGTCATGATTTTTAAAAATCTAATGGTAAACACATTTTCTGTTAGCTAGCTATTTGGGAACATTTCTACTCGGCATCAAAAAGATTGAAGAAATAAAACAATAGAAACCATAGTATAAAAAAAAACAAGAAAAAAAGTGGTTTTAATAGATGTATATATATAACAATGTAAATGAGATTTAATCACAAACAGTTTTCCTTTTCTTGCTTTCAATCACTGGAGATCACATTCATATTACAATCACAAAGAAAAATGATCAAACTCTTCACAACAAGGTCATGTACATTGAGTGCTATCAAGTTTAAACTTGTAATTCAATAGCAAATGTATGCTTTAGCCAGTGATGATACCGTTGTATGCATCTACTTGTGATGCAATAATCCACCTGTCAGATCATCTGGCGTGTACAACCTCAGCTTTACACGGATTATGCCAGTCATAAATGCAGTTAAATATATACAACAATCAAAAGGTTAAATAAATAACTTGCATAAATTATTTGAATGTTCACAGCAAAGTGCAGGTCCACAGGGACCAAATGAAGCATTGGAAATGTGAAAGACATTTATTGCAATCAAACAGTTTTTTCTCCAATCACTGCAGCACCTCAGTGTAGTAACGACAACGCAATTTTATGTAATCAGTCACTTAAATAATGTATAAATAATAATTATACATAACAGGCAAATGGATATGTTAGCCTTTAACTAAATCTAAATCCAGATAATCTGCATGTTTTATGTTGATACTGAAAGCGTTTTAATGTTTTTCATGATTATAATAAATAATATTTGCATATTCTGTATGAGTAGTGGACTGTTGAGTAAAAATGAAACATGTTTAATACAGCAAGATATGGAGAGCCCTATTTTAAGCAGCTAAGTGGTATTGATGTCTGTACCACACACAGTGGAATAACAAAATCTTTTACGACTGAACAGCTGCTACAGATGGAGACTCTGGCAGATGCGGGGAGCCAATCATACGTGGAGATCCAGCCTCTATGACAGAGCTGGGTCCAATCACAGAGTAGCTTACAATGTCATCCATGGCGGAGTTGGTGGAGGTAGCCAGTGAAATCACAGAAGATACAGGTGTCACTGAGAGCAGTGAGGGTGTGTATGTCGAGCTGGTGCTGATGATGCTAGCAGCAGCAGCTGGTGGTGGGGGGGCATCAGCAGACGCAGCTGAAGCGCAGTTGGACAGCAGGATGGAAGCAGGGAGGGAATCCTGCTTCAGGTCTGAAAATAGCCTGGACTCTGTTTTCAGTGAGGTTATCACAGAACAAACAGGCTTGGAGATGGCTGGTAGTTTTGGTGCTGTGGTTTCACTGACTTGAGTGCTGCATGCAGATACAAGTAACAGGGGCAGTACAGAGTTGTATGGCCCAGATTTCAAATTTCTGTGGTTAATATCTGGGCCAAGATTAGAGACACTGCCCATCCCAGATGATGATCCTCCATGCTCTGAGCCTTTTTCAGGAGCTTGGTTGATGATAGAAAACGAGCTAGAGTGAATCTGTCTTAACAGCCGAGAGCTATCTTCACAATGCTTAGAAGTGAGACAGTTGACTAAAATACCTGTGCTGGGTGGCGCAGAAGAAATTGCACCATCACCACATATCATTTTACCATCAGCAGACAGGAAGCGGTGGTAGGGTTCAGTTTGTTCATGTTTATTAAGTTTCTTCCTTAACCGAGTATTATTAGAATGCGGGAGTGTCGAGACTAAAGTTACTTTTGAACACTGCTTAGATGCCACGCCCATCTCATGAAGGGAATATTTTTTAGGTATCTTATTCAACTTGGGCTTGGTCACTCGGGTCTTCTTGGCCTCTTTCTTATCCATAGGCAGATCCCCTTTGTTTAGCAGCTGCAATGTTTTATAAGTGTTATGTTTCATGTTGGTTTCTCTCCCACTTAGTCCACAAACAACTTGATTAAAGTTGGGTGCATGAGACTTGACCGCCTGGCCAGCATGTTGTGAAGAGCAGGACAATTTTGGTAGCCTGTCCCCTGAAGCTACACTGGCATCTTCTGAGTATAATTCTTTCCCTGCCCGAAGTGAGTGTGACTGGTTCAAACACACCTGCTTGGAAGTTTGGTCAGGTGAAGCTGAAGGTATGGATGATGGCAAAGATTGGATTTTGCTAGAGGACGAAACAGGACAGCTTGTGACCAAGCCACTGATCTGTGGGGAGGTCAGTAGAATTTCCACAGATTTTAAAGGCTTCTGCAAGTTCTTGACCAGTTGTGGGGTTGATAGGGAGAGAAATGAACACGCCACCTGCTCCATTGTGCTAGAAATATTTTCAGAGTTGGATACAAGAGGTGCGGCATGACTTTTTTCATTGTGTGTATCACTGCTGTCTTTGGACTTCTTTACACACTCTTGTAAGTTCTCTTCATTTTGATCAGCTGTGAAAAAAGAAAAGAAATTCAGTTCGTATAATTACATTTTCTTTTGTAGTGAAAAAAAAAGGCAATGCAGGCAAAAAAAAAATCTATAACCTCAGACGTATCAACTCACTTTCTCCTTGGATTGAAATGCGAGTTATACAGTAATTGCGGGCCTTTCGCTTGCGGCTACCAGTCACTGGTTCAGATGGTCGTTCTTCTTTAGGGATTGGAATGTGCGGAGCTGGACATCCTGATGATTCTAAACTCACTGAAATAACAAACAATGCAATCACAATCTAGAACGAGCCGCAGAAAATATTTTAATTTAGAAGGGATATGAAAAGACTAATACAGTAGCAGAGAGAACAGACAATTTATCCACATAATCCTCTACATACACCTTCGTATTTTGACTAGTCTAAATTTACCTTCATATTTGACTAGTCTAGATTTACCTGCATATTAGACTACTCTAGATTTAGCTTCATAGTAGACCACTTTAGATTTACCTGCATATTCAACTAGTCTAGATTTACCTTCAAATTTGATTAGACTAGATTTACCTTCATATTTGACCGCTCCACAAGAAACAGTAGCAGCAGGTGGAGAGACTACACAGTCAGGGTCACTGTTACTTCTGGCGCGTTGGGGAACACCTAATAGCTCACTGTCACATCTACGCTTCATGGCTTTTCTCTTCTCAAGCTGGGACATAGAACAGACTGGCAGCGACTTTATTTCTTTCTCTAGATCAAATGCACTGTTCCAAAAACACAAATATTAAAGAGATTTAACGGAAATGTAAGTTAAGTTTGATTCCTTAATAAAAATTCCATAAATAAAACTAAGGAGTGAAAAAAATTCAGTAAATACAAACAACAAAACTTCAGCAAAGAAATTTACCCAGTTCTAAACTTGATTTTGTCAACAGATGAGTCCCCAGTCACCAAAGAGCCAGAATAAGTGGTCCCAACTCCATTTGAGCTAAACTCCACACTAGCACTTGTCGTATCTCTTTCACTTGCTGAGCGTTTCAGTGTTCTTCTATTGTCCATCTTGTCAAATTCATCTCTTGTACTATGTGATATTAAGTTTTAATACAGAATTTATTTTTTAAAAACTAAGGTAACATATGGAACTTGATTTTTTAACTGTAATCTAATAAACTCTTTTTGCCTTTAATAAAACAACTGCTAACTTGAAATTGTTGAGTATAATTCAAGAACTCGTGTGTATAACACCCATGAGACCACACACCGCTGATGAATTTGTCACAAGAGAATGTGGCTCTAGAACTGACAGTACAATCCCTTCATACAATGTGATCATAAACAAGTGAACTCATCTGCTCCTTTGACCACAGGCCCAAAGGATAATGTTTTACTTTATCTAAGCCTTATGGAGCATGAGTGTGTTTCATCAATTTATAATGTCCACAGTGATGGGGATTGAAAACTATGTGAAATATTCTTCATTGATTTTTGCGGAACTATGCTGCTAAGGGGATTATGCTTTTTGCATTATACCCAGACTCACTTTCCACTATAGAATTTAGGTACACAAAGTGTTTAGGGGTGGTAATCCTCCAAATAAAAATGCAACTTTTAATAAAAAAATGTCTAGTACGAAACCTAGTCACTTTATAAGGGAATTTAATATATAGCCAAAACCTTTGACTTACCCAAAACTTCTACCATTTCTTTCAGCATTCCTGGCAGCAAGACGCTCCCTGGATGGTTGAATAAAGCCCTCTTTTATCAGCTCCTGATACTTCTGACCCCTGTTAGCACGTCTAGACTTTCTAACTGGTGGGGCACCCGTATCGTCATTATTATCAGAATGATCCCCTGATTCAGCGGCAACTGATGACCACTGACCTTGTCCATCTCCTTCTACATTTTTGAAAATTTACCAACCATCAATAACAATCGAAACCCTAATTTTAAAATTTTAAACGAAAAACTAAATAAAATAATGGGAAAAAAAAAAGCAATTTCTAAAAAAAAAAAAAAAAATGAGATTAAAAATATAATTTTTTATAATTACCATAAGTTGGACTGTTTGTAACAGGCTGCCTATATGAATCCCAGTTGGCAGAACTCTCTTGAGAGGTTCTAGACATGCTACCCTCTTTCATGTTTGGATTTGAGACAGTGTTTTTATTTTTCACTGCACAGTCCTCAGTTTTTCTGCAAGATGTGCAACCTTCTTTTCCAGGTGGAGAGCCACAAACCTAAGAGCAAAAATATTTCAATCAATCATTGACGTACAACAAGTTTATTTTTATAAAGATTCTTAAAAAAAATATTGTAAAAATTGTATAATTCAATGTTATATAAAAAAGCAATTCACTGAAAATGTTTTTTTTAACTTAAAAATAATAAGCTTAGGCCTATTTAATAATAGTTTTGAACATAAAAAAAAAATCAAATTTTAAAAAGATAAGCTTACCTCTCTTACAACTTTTTCTACTAAGTTTGTTACAAGCAAGGGACTGAAATCTTTCCTGTCTTCTTGCCACTTTGGCTCAGCTTTTATGGCTTCAGCTTTGATGTGCTTAAGGTGGGTATCAGACAAGAATGCATTCCGTATAGCACTGTTTTGCGCCATAGCCCGGTCCCCGGAGAAATCAGACTTGGTAAGCTGCTCAACTATGTGGTCGTAAATTTTTTGTCCGCAGGCTGTGATGGAGTTAAGGACAGGCTTGCTTTCCTCTTTTGGAAAACCAGCTGCGCAGTTTGTGGTTTCAGGACGTGGACTAAGTTTAAACGCTTTCTGGTCTCCAGCTACTGGGGCAGTACCTTGGTGGTCTGGTGCAACTTTGGCAGGGTTGACTAATGTCTGGGACCAAATCTGGCTTGCTCTCTGCTGTAAAGGCTGAGTCTGAGAGAGCTGAAGCATCAGCTTGGGGTGGCTGCTGGCACTGAATGAAGTGCTACGAGTAGGAGTGGGCCTTGGTGCCTTTTCAGCAGGATGGTTAAAAAGGGTTTCTTTGTTGTCGCCATCATTCGTTGCTTTTAAATCAGTGTACAGATTGTTTCTTTCATAACCAGTGTCAGGCAATTCTGGTTTGATCTTGAGTTGAAAGTGTTGAGATTCAGCCTTCCCCTGCCCTGCATTGGTTTGATTAGCATTCAGAGTGGTTATCCTGGAGTCAACCAGAGTAGCAGCCACTGCAGTCTGAGCTTGTGTGAGGTCTTCCTTAAGCTTGGCTTCCACAAGCATGCGCTCTGCCCATTTCTTCTTTAACTTGCCTTCACTGAAAGTGTTTGCCGGGTTGGACGATGGCACTTTTATGATGGATTCTTTTTCTTTATAGACACAGCCTGTGCCTGTGTTCAAGTTCACCCCAAGTTTGGATAAACCTTCAAAGTTTTGAAAAAGTCCAACAGAAGGGGCTGAACTGCTGGAAGAAACTAATGTTAATTTTGGTGAACTAACATCATTGTTAGATAACAAAGAACTAATTCTTCCAGCACTAAGTAATGATGACAGATCCATCTTCGTCTGGCTAGGTGATTGTGGCTTGTTCTCAGTCTCCAGCTTTATCTGACATGGTAGAGCTAAATTCTGGGGCTGCTCCTTGTAAGAAAATGAATGTGTTAGCTTGCTAGGCGCCTCATTAGTTGAAATCAGAGCTTTGTTGTTTTGTGATAATTCACTAGAAATTGGTTTTGTTTTTCCTGGCTCTCTCCACTGATAAAAATCAGGATTTTTCTCCATTTTGACATCAATTTTGAACGTATTGCTTTTGGCCATCTTGTCCCCTGGTTGGGCTAGTATGTTTTGTGAAAAGAGGACTTGCTGTCCTCCCACCGGCTTGGACTGTTGAGTTGTTGGTGTGGAAGCCTGCCCAGCAGATACAGCTGACAGATGGAACTGTGGCACTGCCCTCAGTGCTTGAGCAAGTGTGACGTTGAGCTGTTGGCTCTGGATGTGCTCAGATACTGAAGTCAGAGGTTTAACACTGCTGCAGTTAGGTTGGGTGGACTCTAGGGTTACAAGGTGGCTTTTATCTGTAGGCAAGTTGACAGATAAAACTCTTGCTCCAGGGAACGATGGAAGAGGCTCTGCTAATTTTTCAGATCTGGAAAATTCTGAAGTAAACACAGGTGATTCTGCATCATCCACATAAGGTGGGGATGGTGATGGAATGGATTCCGTGGCAGATGAAGACAATCTTCTTCTCGAAGAGGCACCTTTGTATCTCTCAACAGATGAGTAGCTTTCATCACAATGTGCCATGGACTCTCCTGACATGTACTGGGGGGTGTGGGTGGTCAAGTTGAGGGGAGATAAATCAACGGCTCTGTCACAGTTTCCTTCATGGTCACTGCCATAACCATGAACTTCAGAGGACTCTGTCAAACTCCAGTGTCTTGCTCGTTTCTTTGGGGGTGCCATGGGTGTCTGGTTAGACAAGTGAGATGGGAAGCTGCTGGACAGTGCTAATGGATGCTGGGACAGAGCCTGAGTGAGTGGTGTGTTTGGATAAGATGAGGGCCTCTCACTGACTGAACTTTGCAGCTCACTTGCACACATCTAAAAATTTGACCCAGAGAATAAATAAGTAATGTCTTTAAACACTAAGGATAGTCAGGATAATTGCACAAATGAGGTGATTTATCATAGGGAGAGGGAGAGAATGGCACAAAAAATGAACTATAATGTTATGGCTTACATTCTTTTCTAGCTTTTAAACACATAGCAAGGCATCGCCATTGTTTCTAATGGATATGCTAAAAGTAAGTTTCTCTAAAAGTTTCAATGGCCATAACTATTAAAAAAAAACCCATCTTATATAGTAGCTATGTGTTTAATGATGGAGGAGGATGAGAATAGAAGAAAGTGTTATTTAACATCTGGTAGGTCAGGAATATCTTATTTCTGTGTTGCATACAAAGTGCATTATTCATTATTTAAGATAAAAAAATTAACAGAAAAAACTTGCACATGACTGTAAGTAAATGAATTTTTAAATTACTACACACCTCTGCTAGTTGTAGAAGTGCATTGTTGGATGTACCAGCCTGCTCAGACTTTTTGGTAGATGCTGGCACACTTGAGGACTTATTTGGTGGTGTGAACAGTGAAGGCCTCAGCTCATGAGACGTTTCCTTATCTGCCATCAATAACAAATTCAGTCCTCCCATCTTTTCAGGATCTAAGATAAATTCATAAAGTTTAAGGTATTTCATTTCAACGTAGCACCCATTTTCATTGGTAATTTAAAAAAAAAAAACCCACCAAAGCAAAAAGGTTTTTTACTATTGTTTTATACTTCGTCATACAAATATGATATCTTATTTTTAATTTTAAAAAATCAAATAGTCAACCAATGTGAAATAATTCAATAAATTCAAAATTTTTGGGAATTATATGCAAAACTATTGTATACATTTTAGATAATAATTTTTAAACATATTGGTTGTAGTATTGTAAAATGTGTTATTCTAAGGAACAAAGCTTATTTACGATATTAAAGAGCCGTACCGCTATTAAACAGCCATACCTGATATCCACTAAAGGATTAAACTTATGACAAGATATACTATTACTTGTAATATGCAACAAAGCAGTGACTGCATGAAAATGCCAAAATTCTAAAAGGAAAACAGCACCCAGATTACATAAATAATCAACTCACCAGCAAGTTTCCCAGGAATAATTCCTCCATCAGTTGAAATTTCTGCCACATTTTTAATGACTCTGGAATTGGTAGGTTTAGCAACCAGCTTGGCTGATGTGCCTTGTTGTTTTTCAGAACTGTGCCATTTGTAGTTTGGGTGTGCTTTCATAAAAGCATCTTTGTACTTCACAAGAGAAAAAGTTGAAATTTTAATGCTATACATAAGATTTTGTGACTATAACTATTATACCTGTGATTTAAAATTGAGCTACAATGAAGGTTAATTTGTATAATTTGTACTTTTAAGTTACTGGTATGTCTTCTTCTTCTTTGTTCTTAATTTTTAGTGTTGGAAGGGATCGAGCCTTATCTGCCAGAGGGTTTGAACTTGAGACTTTTTCAAATTTATCAACCAGTAGCTTTTGCAGACTCGACCACGCCGCCATCACAAATTAAGGATACGTGTCAACTGGTTATGCGCCATTGAGGCCTGCTTTTCTTTTTGGATTTGCTTCCTAAGCCTTTGTCCAACCAAGAACAAACTACAAGGCAGCAGTTGTTTGATTTTGGAGTTGTCTCTCCTAGAAGAGTGGCTGTTCCCAGCTAACGAGCCTCATCTGCCCAAGGGTTCAAACTCGAGACTTTTCGGTTCAGCAACCATGAGCTTTACCGACGCGACCACAAATACAAGCGATATGATGGGAAATATAGACAACTTATAAAAATCTGGACAACCAAGGTGATAAGCATTAAGCATACCTGCTTAGCTAGATTAGTATAAGTTGACTTTTCCTCTCCAAGATTTGCCCACAGATCTCCTAGAACACGTGTCACACTTCTATTATCCATATCTGGATTCTTCTGTCTTACAACACTTCTATGGCGCTTGCAAAATATTAGAAATGCATTCATTGGCCTTCTGACATCTCTTCTCTCCCCCTCTTCTCCTTCCATTGTGCACAGTATTTAGAATTGAAACTATTGTAATAGAAAATATAACGTGGCATTATTTAAAAAATAATGACATTTTTAACTAATCTCTTAACAGTTGTGTTATTAAAAAAAATAATGACATTTTTAACTAATCTCTTAACAGTTGTGTTAAAAGCAAACAGGAGGAACTGCTTAACTATTTTGTAGTTTTTATAGCAGGCAAGCCAGCAGATTCTAACTTTGTGGTACTACATCTCCCAACACTATAGGTCTTATCTTAGCACCTCTTCAGTTCTCATGTGTGTATACATATAGGTAGGTGATCGGTGTGTTATAATTATTGAATGCATGTATTTAACTCAACTCTTTACCTACAAGTTAATGGTTTCTGCTCAATATGAATTGTTTATTTATTCTCAGATGGTTCAATTTTTTAAAAATAATTTATGCATCTGCAAACTTCTATTTTATCCAAAATGTCCAAAACAGGTTTGAAAAAACTATCAGTCTTACAGCCAGTTGTTAGAAGTTATCCAAGGAGTTCTTTAATTGGTTTATTATGTTGCTCTTCAGTTCAGATATAACCCACTGTCTCTTCAACATAGTGTTTCTCTTGTCTTTCCCTACTATGCTTGTAAAAACCTCAATCTACAAGCAGGCCATACCAATTCACTTTTTCGGAGACAATTTTATTAACGTGATGCCATAGAAGAATTAACTCTTACACATGCCCCAACCATCACCTTGCTTAACCAATCCTTGCGAGATTCATCAGGTCTTTGTAGGTTTTATTCTTAGCAGACAATACATATTATCTACATTTTAGTATAGGGCCTAACATTAATAAATTATTCAATGAAAATGTTTTCATACAAGTCTGAATAATTGTTTGATGTAAATGATATATAGGCCCTATATATAACCTCTCAATACTTTCTGATAAATTGATAAGTATTTAACATTTTCCCAAGCATCCCAAAGGAAACCTCTGATGTGAGAGCAACAAAAAATATATATATATATAGAGAGCTACATCACATTTAATATAGGCTTTAAAAATCCATTCAAATGGTAGGATTTATAGCTGTTTAATGATTAGATCTAGGCCCATTTTGATAAAAAAAATGTTTTTCATTCATTAGTTTAAATTAAATAAGTATAGGGCTAAAAAACAATTCCATGTAATTAAACATCAGTAGTTCATATTAAGGCTATGATTATATTATCAGCTACCATAATCCTTGTCCAGACTCTTAACACACCCAACAATGATACTGGCATTAACCTTTGTCCTACCAGCATCTAGTGGATAATTAGTTTTTTTTAAATCATTAGGGCTAACATGATATGTGTACTGTAGGGTGTAGTAGGACTTTTGTTGGCCCATTTAAATTGTGCATTGTTAATTTTAAAAAAAAATTATAGTAATTTTAATATATAAGATCTAGGCTTTCTAGTAATTGTAATACTAAAAAAACAAAGCAGATAGGCCTAAAGCTATTAAAATAAATGTGTAGGCATTGTGAAACCTTAGGCCTACATATTTCATAAATTAATATAAAACTAAGGAGTAGCACTTAGATTAATCTGTATGACACTAGAATCTAGACATAATCTAAAAAAAAAAAGCTCAAGTTTTGAAATAGAGATTAAAATCCCTGCAAGTGTGCAGCCTAACCCAACATAACTCCAGCAACCTAAACATTCCTTACCTTTAGACATGACCACTTATTATTCTGTTTGCTAGATTATCATTATAAATATAATAAAGCTAGATCTATTAGAACTTGTTTAGGTAAAGTACACACTAGAATCTAGATCTAGTGTAGCATCTAAAGATCTAGACTAGTTTGTTTTTAAAAATTATAAACTAGGCCTATTACTATTACCCAGCTAGTAGATCTAGATCTAGATCTAGGTAAAAATACAAATTGTAGACGTCTATTCTAGGGTAGAAACTAGAATGTAGATCTATTGACTAACTATTACACTATTTAGGCCTAGAAATCTAGATTCTAGATCTAAACTAGAGGTAACCTGGCTGTCTAGCATGCTTGGCTTTTCCAAAATGAAATAATATCAACTTTATTTCAAAGCACTGCAAATAAACAAACAAGCCTAGCGCTACAACAACAAAGTAATGTTAAAGTAGGCCACCGGTTGTTGACTGCCGCTACCTTCTTATGGGAGTCCATTCCCTGATCTTTGTTATCATAATTTAAAAAGAGACAAACTTCTGAGTTGCAAATATTAAAGTAGGCTATGCTAAGCCTAGATTCTAAATTAAATCCGATTTACAGACACTTATATTTTAAAAAAATAAGCATATTATTGCCTAAACTTTAATTTCAAAATCATAAAACTAGATCTATCAAATGTTCATTTTTGTATGACTATGAAGAAACTGGCCGACTAAAAGCAATGATTTATTTAAAAAGTAGGCCTAGCTTGGGTGATGTGGGTCACTGAGATATACACCGGGCATTCCTTACGTCAGGTAGGCTTTCTCGTTTATGATTGGCCAATGCCAAACCCAGTCAACAAACGGCCGGGAACCGACATTTTAGAATGATTGGTTTACCTTCAAACATAAGAAAAAAACCAAAACTATTTGCTAGTCCAGTCTGGGCAAGAATGTCATAATATAAATAAAAATATATTAATTATAAAAATGTTTAGTAGATCTATAAAAATTAAATTAGCGTATCACACCCGTTAAAACACACATCGCCATGCGAGGGCAAATCGCTGTACCAAGGCCAAAGAGGGCACGCGATTGTATAGAAAAGCGTTTGGCTCACGTGTCATCACGGCCCTCATGTTCGTCTCTTTAAATTGCTTATAGCTGAATGTTACATATATCAAAGACGACATAACACGTCTACCCACATTTGATAAACGTTGATAATCTCATTCTGGTCATTTTAAAGTAATTTCCTTGTCACAAACCGTAAAACATACCCGGCACCATTTACCAGACGAGCTCATTATCTATGCACACAGGTTTTGTTGTTCAACAAGTCGACCCGATCAGGACATCCACTGATATCGGTATCACATGTGGAAATGAAAACGTCAATGAAAAGAGCTTCGACCTAGGTGCTTGTTGTACAAATTCATATAAATATAATAAAATCTTACCTTTACATTATTTGCAGACACAGATAATTTGAATTAGTCGTAAATTTTCGCTTTTTCTTATACGGGACCTCACAATGACCGACGTCTACGCCATCAACACCATTCACAGCTGAACTTGGGAAAATAGGTCAAGGCTTCTTGAACAGTAGATAGGCAAATTCCTACGCAATACATTGTTTTAGTTAATTACGTTACAAAACAAATTATATTAATTACGAAAAACAAGTTTACGATGAAAGAAAAGTAGGGCTATAAAACTATCTTAAAATCGATTGTCCTATTATAAGCACGAAAAAACAATCTGTAATTTTTGGTGTGCTGGATTGAGTTCTACTTTTAGCAACATGGTTGCAAATAATTTAGGCCTACTTTAGGCTACCTTTTGTGCGTAGTTGGATTGACTAATAACTTTACTCTTTTTTGAAGAGTGCCGTAAACAAGAAACAATGGGCATGAAATAGTTTTTAATAACGGGTGGATTTTACTTATTACGTTATATTACAATGCGTAATGCCTTATTATAGTAATTGCACTTTAAACTATTTTGTTTACTTCGAGTTTTCCATCAGCGCTTGACAGTGACCCAGATTTAAAACACCGTACTATAAAAGTTAAAGCTAGGGACTAGGTCAAACGAGATTAGGTTTATTTCTTGTATTTAGTTATCTTACTAAGTAAGGGCTATATAACTTATTTAATCAAGATTAAAAAAAAAACCTAATATTTGAATAATGCAGCCTATAATTATAAACTAATTTTTGTATAAAATATTAACTACTGAATCTTAATTTAAAAAAAATACAAATTAACGTTTCCTAAAAAACGATATTTTTTTTCAATGTTAAACTTAAACCTACTTAAATTAAAAGTTAAATTTAAATGGGCCTGAAATTGCAGGAGGCCTATTTATTATTTTAGACAAGATGAAGGTAAATATTTACAATATTTAGGTTAAGAAACATTATTAAATTACATAGACTATCGATTAGTGGTGGGGATTGTTGGCTTTAGATACTCATCAGCAGTGTTTCTTCCAGACTTTTTTCTCCGGGGGGGCACTTGAAATCTTCGGGGGGGCGGTAAACTTTCTTCGGGGGGGGGGGCGGACACTGTTAAAAGTATATATTTTCTATATAAATTATATAAATTTAATTTCGTTCGGGGGGGGGGCGGTAAAAATTTTTCGGGGGGGGGGGGGCTTCGCCCCCCCGAAGAGATGCCTGGAAGAAACTCTGCTCATCAGGGCAGGCTGCATACGGGTGGGGCGTCCCCCAGTGCGGTATTGTATGGTGTAACTCCATAGACCACACCGGGTGACACCCTCTGTGGGAGTTGGGGTGACACTATGGCAAAAAAAAAAAGCAAAATTTATAGAAGAAATAAAGGGAAAAGAGCCTTTATCGGATTCAAACGTTGGAAACATCTCTTTGGCCACTGTAGAACTCATTCTCCTATACATTACAAACACAGGTGTTGGATCAGCCTATAAGTGCGTTGCTTTACAATTTTAAAATACACCCAGAAAACAAAGTGGGAGGGATCACCTCTAAACTTTTTTAAGGGCTATAGAGATTATTTTTTTTAATTAAAAAAATAGAATAGAAAAAAGAATTGCGCAAAATAGAGAAGAGTATTAGAGTCTAGTACTTTATAAAGGAGATATTGAATAATTTTAAAAATTTTAATTAAACATCTAGTTAACTCAATAAGTCGCAGTGCATTAAATTGTTATCGAGTCTTGTACTACGTACAAATTTTGAAACAAATCTGTCCGGTAGAAGTGAATTTATTTTTGAGAAATCGGAGATATCCTAAAGAATAAAATCTTACCCCTATGAAAGGCCTATACAATACCTATTTGCTATAGCCGTGTCTAGTTTTATGTCCGTTTGTTATGTCTGTATGTTTTAGTGCACAGTATTATTTTTAGACATTTTTTTTCTCAGGGAGGGGGTTGTATGAATTAAATAAAAAAAAATCGTCGGGGTAGGGGGAATCAAAAGATCGCTTTGAGTTTTGAGAAATTAGTAAATGGAATGGAGGAAGTAAGACGTTATTTTATGGGGGGGTCTGACTTTTTGTGGCAAAGAAAGGGGGAAGGGGTGGGGTCGTGAAAAAAAAGGGAAAAAGCGTAACGCCATTATAAACGGCCCTCAATTTGGAAAATTTAATTTTGAATGGTAAAACATTTTAAATAATTTAAAATAATTATTTTACTAGATTTATGTAGAATCAATTGTTTTTTGTATGCCAAAATCCTTTTTTGATAAAAAAAATTTATGATCTTAGAGACATTGCTGTTTTTTTTGTTCATAGGCTTTGTGCGTTGTTTATTTAAAAGAATAAAAACGCCTAAGATAGATTTTGAAAAAAAATATTTTTAAGCAGCTGTTGTAAGAAAAATATATAGATCTGGATATTATATGAAAAAGCATCATATGATTTTATGGCATATTTTTTTTCTCCTGTTCTCCATAGTCTAGACCTAAATTTAACGTGTCATATGATGTTCTAGGGGAGGTCAATATAATAATTTGAAAAGAACCGGAAATCACGAGAAAATATATGCCGACTTCCGTATCATCATATGACAGAAAACGAAAATGGTAAGTGGGCTGAGTTGGCTGTTCTCTGATTTTTAATATTATAGAATTTTATACAATATACAGTATCAAGTTTGACACAGTTTAATAAGAGCTCTAGAGTCTAGGCTTATTAATCATTTGAAGAGGAAATAAGTTTGAATTTACTAAGATATCTGTGTGCAAAATACTTCTTTGCTGAACAGCTGAGGACTCACTTCGAATGGATTCTTGATTGATTCTTTCTTCTGATCCTGATTTTAAAAACTTCAGTTTTTGTTCAGTTAAATTAACTCAAGTTTTGAGAAAAGTAATAAACCGCAGTAAAGGGTATTGATTTAATAAATTATAGTGTTAAGAAAAAATTACATAGGCCAATTCACTTTGTTACTAAAATGTAGGCCTTACTCAAAGATCCGATGAAGTCAAGCTGAGCTTTTGGCACTAATCTTTGATTGCAAGCGGGTCATATAAAATGTATATTCACCTCATACTGTTTTAATAACAATTCCTAAATTTAGATCTAAAAGCAATACCCAAGAATACAAAGTCAGAATATAATCAACTACTTTTTATAGTACAGTGTCTTTACAGTTTTTGTCATTATAAGCCATAAACCTTGGGCCTACTTGACGAAAGTTTATTATTTGATCTTAAGTCATACTCAGTGGGCATACATTTTGTAGATCAAATGCTTTGATTTTGTCTCCAGCATCAACAACCATTTTTATCATTATAAGAATCAAATGAAATGACCTACCTCTATTTTATTTAAATAACCTTGGTTGCCCTTAAGATTTTTGATGATGCCTGAGAAGTAGTTGGATACCCAACTTTTTGTACATATTTATAAATCAAAGTTTGTTTTGGTTTAAATACAAGGCCTTTAAAACCATTATTCGAATTAAATATGCAGTCTAGTGTTATAATTTTGATTGTAACCTGATATAAAGTAGGCATACATCACCACGACTAATTAATAAATTTAAAGGATGAAAAATAGTTCAGCTTATCAGTTTAACAACCACCTTCAAAATTTATATCATAACGTGACACTTTTTTTGGTAAAATTTATAACCAAGTGCTCCTTTGTTTTTGTCTTTTATTTTCCACTCTCCTCTTACATGCATTAATAATTTTACAGACGTCCGAAAGAGATCATACAATGCAGCCTTTAAAGGTGGCAGATGCAGAGAAGGAGAGTATGTATGGATACATCTATACTGTCTCTGGTCCTGGTAAGTTTTTCAGATATTGCAATGTTTGTCATATACAATAGCTTTACTCAATCAAATTAAATTTTTTTAACTGTTACCTGATTGAATAACTTTTTTTCTCCAGTCGTGACTGCCCAAAACATGGCTGGTGCAGCTATCATGGAGTTGGTCCGTGTGGGTCACTCTGAGCTGGTCGGAGAGATTATTAGGCTTGAGGGAGACACTGCCACCATACAAGTCTATGAAGATACCTGTATCCTTAATTATTTTGTAGTTGATTGCTTAAAGTTTTTTTTGCAGTAAAATGGAAATCATTTTGATTTTTTACAGCTAATATGCATTGGCATACAAACCCAAATTAAGAAAAAGGTTCATTAACATGTGTAGATTTTATAATCTCCCATTTTTGTTTTTAAATGTAGGAAAATTTTAGATCATAAAAAATTATGGAAACTGCTACCAAGATCAGAGGTGGATCACTTTGTGATGGTTATTTACTTTTTAGTTCTGTAATAAAACCTAAAAAAAACCCACCCCAAATTTATTAAGGCACCTCGTCAGAGTCCCATTTTTAAAACTGATATATAGTCGAAAATTTCCTTAACTAAATGACAGCTGGTGTAACTGTTGGTGACCCTGTACTCAGAACCAAAAAACCATTGTCCGTTGAGCTTGGGCCTGGTCTTATGGGCGGTATCTATGACGGTAAGAAAGCACTTTCACCCCCTGTTGGTTTACTGCATCAAGTATTGTTTCCTCAATTTGTTTCCCCTCTTCTCATGGTTTCCCTTTGATTTTTGCTCTCAGGTATCCAGCGTCCACTTGAAGACATTAGCGATCTCACACAGAGCATTTACATCCCCAAGGGTATCAATGTGCCTGCCCTTGACAGAAACAAGAGATGGGACTTTGAACCACTCAATGTTCGGGTGAGTGTCCTTCTTTTACATTGAGATTTTTCTTATTACAAAAATTATAACAACTGTTTAGTTTCAGCTTTTTAGGTAGACTGCTGTTTGATCACACAAAGAGGGATAACCCTTTAAAAATGTACATTATTTAAAAAAGTTACTATCATAACAGACAATATTAATTTCTTACAATTTCAAATTTAAAAAAATAAAACAAAGCTAAAAATAAAATAAGCTTAAAGCTTAAATTTAAGTTGCTTTCTCTTTAAAATTACAATAATAAATTAACATTTTAGTTTTTAAAAAAAAACAAGTTCGAACATGATTTTTAACATTGTTTTTTCTGAGGCTAACACAATTAGTAGGCTGTGTTCTCATAAAGAGAATACAAACTGACAGACAGACACTGTGAACTAAATAAAAGCTTTTAAACATAGTTTAAAAATTTATTCATTTTCTCAAGTAAAAAGAATATGGCCTGTTTATTTTTTTTTTGCTTTCGACATTAACTTTAGTATCAAGAGCTGGATAACTGAATAATAGTCTCAGCAATATAGTACTTGTGAATTACAAACTCTTTGTAGATTAGTCAAAAGATGTTTTACTTTTACAACTATTGGTACAATTTTTCTTAGGTTGGAAGCCATGTCAGTGGTGGAGATATCTTTGGAATAGTCTATGAGAATATTCTTGTCAAACATAGAATCATGTTGAATCCTAAAGCCATGGGTACAGTCACATGGATTGCAGAGCCTGGCTCATACACTGTAGTGGTACGTATTGTCTTTGTTACTAAATATTAAAATATTCAAATCTTATTGACATCAATGTCTGTGCGGTTCATGTGTATAAGAAAAATAGAATGCTGCAAGTATAAAATGCGACTGAACTTTTACAGGATCCTATACTGGAAACTGAATTTGATGGTGTTAAAACAAAACATACCATGATGCAAGTTTGGCCTGTACGTCAGATGAGACCAGTGACAGACAAACTGGCAGCTAACTATCCTCTTTTAACTGGCCAGAGGGTGTTGGATGCTCTTTTCCCGTATGAATTGTTCTATTTATTTTCTTCCAGTTAAACACGTCAATACTATTTTAGTTTAAACTAGGTAGGTAATTAAAAAAGTTAATATTATTTTTATTCTAGTTGTGTACAAGGTGGTACCACTGCCATTCCTGGGGCTTTTGGCTGCGGCAAGACTGTCATCTCCCAGTCCCTGTCCAAGTTCTCCAACTCTGATGTCATCATCTACGTGGGTTGTGGAGAGAGAGGAAATGAGATGTCTGAAGTATTGAGAGATTTCCCTGAGGTAACTTTTCTACAGTGTTACATGACATCTTTAATTGGTTCTTGTCAAGATATTGTTCATGTTTTAAAAATGTTTTGTTTAAAAAAATATTTTTGTAATAAACAAAAAAAAAAGTTGAACCTTTTTAGCTGCAAAATGGAATTGAATAGCAAATATTAAGTTATGTGATGAACACTCTTACCATAAATTTTTTCCCTCTATAAAAATTATGCCTATAGTTTAAATGATAGTTTTTTTTATTGACAGATTGAAAGTTTTAAATTTTTACTTAAAAAAATTTGTTGGTACATTTTGATAATTCCCTATATATTCAGTTGGTTTTTTAAATAATCCCCTGAAAATTCAGTTTGTTTTGTAATTATCTTTTATAAACCCCTTTGGTTTTTAAAAAATGTACAGCTCACCATGGATGTGGAAGGCAAACAGGAGAGCATCATGAAGAGAACAGCTTTGGTGGCCAACACATCCAACATGCCTGTAGCTGCCAGAGAGGCCTCCATCTACACAGGTCAGAGACTGTATTTTTTAGATGGTGGGAGGGCAGGGTTTGGTAGGCTTAGAGACACAGCACTGATTTGTTGGTGGGGGAAGACAGGTAGTTGGTATTATTGGCTTAGTCACAGCACTGCAGCTCTTGTTGAACCTAGTTAGATTTAGTTACTTCATGAATTATTTTTAAATCATATACTAAGCTCGCTTGAAGTGTGGCTAACCCAACATCATGTGTATATATAGATACATTTAAATCTTGTGCTATTGGTCACCCAGGTATCACCCTGTCTGAGTACTTCAGAGATATGGGTCTTAACGTTTCCATGATGGCTGACTCTACATCCCGTTGGGCTGAGGCCTTGAGAGAGATCTCTGGTCGTCTGGCTGAAATGCCTGCCGACTCTGGCTACCCCGCCTACCTGCCTGCCAGGTTGGCCCACTTCTACGAGAGAGCTGGCCGCGTCAAGTGTCTGGGTAACCCTGGCCGTGAGGGTTCAGTCAGTATTGTAGGAGCGTAAGTTGGTTTCTTGATGTATTGCTGGTTAATTTATCTATAATAATCTACTGTGTATATTCTTGCATAATCCTACCCTTCCAAATTTTGGTGCAAAAATATGGTGATTTGTCAATTTTGATAGTTTTTTGAAGAAATTGTGAAATTGAACATGTCTTTTTTCCTCTCATCGCAGTGTCTCTCCTCCTGGTGGTGACTTCTCAGATCCCGTAACCACGGCAACACTCAACATTGTCCAGGTCTTCTGGGGCTTGGATAAGAAGCTCGCCCAGAGGAAGCACTTCCCTTCCGTCAATTGGCTGATCTCCTATTCAAAGTACGACAGAGCTTTGGATGAGTTTTATGAAAAGTCATACCCTGACTTTGTACCACTGAGAAACAAGGTGTGTGATTCTGTTTCGACTTAGTTGCTTAGCTGTCTCAGTAAATACTTAAACTAGCATTTTATTTGTAATTAAATTTACTTTGGTAATTTACTATTTGAATGTGAATTTGAGACCTTCAAATGTTTGCCTTTCAGTGTAAAGAAATTTTACAAGAAGAAGAAGATCTGTCTGAAATTGTACAGCTTGTCGGCAAGGTAAAATGACTCAAATTTTAATGGGATAGGAAATTAATTAATCAAAATGTTCTGTTTTAAAATTATACAATGTCTAAATTAAATGTGCAGTTTTCATTTTACAACTTTTATTTATAAAGTTCTTTGAAATAGTTATTCTAAATGTTGTTGGTATTCATTATTCAGTAGTATAAAAAAAATTCCAGAATGGAGCTTTTTTTATGCCTTCGTAAGGTTTGAAGTAAATTAAATTTTGATGTTGTAGGGCTCCCTGGCAGAGTCTGACAAAATTACACTTGAAGTCGCCAAACTGATCAAGGATGATTTCCTGCAACAAAATGGCTACACACCTTATGACAGGTGGGTCAAGTTATTTTGATAACAAAACTTTAAGATACTTTTTTTTGTTAGTCTTCCATAATTGTATTCTTGGGTATGCTGTTAACTTTGCTACAGGTTCTCTCCACACAGCAAGATCAATGGTATACTTTTTAAGTTCGTGTTCCATAAATATACATGTCAACACATCTTTCCTACAGGTTCTGCCCATTCTACAAGACCAATGGTATGCTGAAGAACATCATCTCCTTCTACGAGATGGCCCGCCACGCTGTGGAGACTACAGCACAGAGTGAAAACAAAGTGACTTATGCTATCATTAGGGAACAGATGAGTGGCCTCATGTACAAACTCAGCAACATGAAATTCAAGGTAGGTCACTCACATCTTTAAACCATGTTAAGATACCCTTTTCGGACACTGCAATCAAGACCTCGACATATGAAGAGTCTGGGATCCATTATTTTCCGGTTAGCAGTTGTGCGCTCTACAATCTGACCACGCCTTTCACAATTTAACAACTGTATTATATTCAAGGCCCAACACCATTAAATTAATGGAGTAATTAAAAAAAAAATTAATTCATTATTCATCATATACGCTGAGTGCCAACAACTGTTCTGTTATAGAATTCCTTGTGCTTGGCTTTTAAAAGTTCTTCTGTGGTGATTTTTTTGGACTGCCTCTTTTCTGCCTAGTTTGGGGTTTTAACATTTCAGATTAGAAATAAGATACTCTTGTATTACTATCCAATAAATTGTACCATTAAAAATTATCAAAGGAGACGGTGTGAATTAAAGAAAAAAACAGCTTGTTGTATGGGCCTAGATTTTTATTTTTGTTCTGAAGGAAACTTGTAATGAGACATCAGATACTCTTAGTGTGTCTGTACCTGGATTAGTTAGACTGACCTGAACATAATAAGTTTGATAAACCAATGTAAATAAAATATTTGTGTCTGTCTACAGGACCCATACAAGGATGGTGAGGCAAAAATCAAACAAGATTACGAGGAACTGCATGAAGAGATGCAACAAGCATTTAGCAATCTAGAACTCTAGATTATTATTATTTTTTCCTCTTTCTGCTGGGGTATTGTGGGTAATTGTAGTTCACCAAGACAAGAAACATTATCAGACTTTAAAAAGGAGAGAAATACATGAATTAATTGTTAACTTAGTGTTTAACACCTTCTTAGATCCATCACATCTAGTTTCAGATTCTGTTCTCAGTTTTTAACTAGTGTTTATGGTCATTCTTAGTGTGATTTATTGTCATTAGATGATAGAGAATGTATTTCTTGAAGTATTTTTAATGAGTTGAGGATTGTTTCTATTTTTCTTGAGTGTAAACTCCTAGGTCAATGTATGAACAACTGTGATTTGTCTCCCCTATGTTAACTAGTACATAAGGGGTTATTTAACCATATTCATCTATATCAGAAGAGTAAACATGTACATATTTTATTTATATATACAACTGGCTTGTGTTGGTTTTAACCATTTATATTTAGTTCCATTATCATCTAACAAATAAATGTCAATTATGTAAATTGAAAAAAAAAATTCCAGCTTAAAATTTTCCAGTTTTGCAGGAAAATTTCTGTTTGATCTGGCATAGTAAACATGACTAATTCATCACTGTGCTAGCATGTCTGGATATATTTAAGCAACCTATTAAGGTTATTATTCAGTTATTAATCTATTTAAGTGCATTTTTCACCTTAGGATTTTTAGGATAATTTTTGTCATTTGTCACATCATAGTCAAGAATTTTTTTCTACCATATATATATGCTGGTGTTCCGATAGTATGTAAAGTGTATGTATGTTTTGTTGGTGAGTCAATGAATTCCAAGAAATCTGTTTCCACAGGTACTGAAGTAGCGACGCATGACATTTTGTGTATACATGTTGCCTGTTTTATGTTTATTTTGTGAACATTCCAATTTGTTCCTGTCATTTCCTTTTCTTTGTGTTTATGTTCCCTGACTAGTTAGCAAAAATCAAATCTGTGTTCTGTAAGTCAAGTTCTAGACCAATGATGCTAAAGGCTTGATTTGTTTCATTTCTTTTTGTCATGGGTGCATGTTTTCGTGTCAAAGTTTGAATGTTTCAATGTTAGTTGCCAGTGTTAATGTAAACTGGAAGCCATTTGTAGAAAATAATCTGGTGGCAAAGATACATAGCATAGCTTTGGTATGTTTCTGTGTCAAATAAATTATGCTCAAATATACATTTTGTCTGTTGTTTTTTGAACACTCTGCATGTAGTTTACATTTCAAGTAATATTTAGGTAAAATGACTTGTCTAATTGGGTGAAATTGTAAACAGTTTGCAATGGCTGATACGGAGAATACCACAACCAACCAATACGCTCATCCTGCTATAGTTGAAAAAAATTGGACCATTATTATGTGTTAAGTCAATTGGACCATTATTACGTGTTAAGTCAAAGAAGAAGAAATGCATCTATCTACACCACGAAATTATAAAGCAGTATCAAACACTACTCTCATTACATGCTGTGACCAGTACCAGTGAGCGCACCCTTCCTATCTATGCCACTCAAGTCTAAAAAGTTTAACAAATAAGTATGTTAAACATTAGCCAGCTGAGCAGGATTCTCTATTTTCCATGGCTTAATAAATATCACTGGAGAGATCCTTAGAGAATGACCGCCTTGTGCCTTCTCACAATGGTATTGACGAATAAATATTGCAGGAAAACTTTAGAGAATGACCGAGGTGCTCGTTCTGTGAAGTAACAACAAACAAAACGGAAGGTGGCTTTCACGTTTAGGCCCTAATTCAACAGCGGTTCATCAATATCCATTGCTGTGTGTGGTTGGCTACAGAGACGCACTGATATCTTTAAAACTACAAAAACCGCAAGGAATACAACGTGAACGTGTCTTGTTTACACAGATAAGAGTAGTAGAATATTTTCCAGAACTAATTGTTTTAGCAATATCTCTCGAGTCAACCGGATGTTTACGACAGTCTTTGGGTTTCCCTAGGTTAGGTAATTCAAGGGCGACGATCTAAACGTTAGGTAAAGATAACCACCTCCCCATACTTTTTCACTCCCCCTCCTCTCTTCTCATCATACCCAAACTGAGACGCGAACAAATTGAAGCCAACGGACCATGCTACGCACGATGCATGGATAAAAATGATCCAATTTATAGTCAAACTGAGACCACGGCCTTATTAAACTGGACAGAAAACAGACTATTAAAAAGATGGGCAGTTACTATTAAGCCCCTATTCCATGCGTATTTATATAAGAAATCTTGTTTGTTTTATTTTTCTCCAAGGGTCACAATTTTTAAAAAAGATTCTACAGCCAAAGGTCAAAGTTGAGGCAAATACAAAACTGTCACAAAGTCGTCATCAAAGTCGTTACCTGGCGATTTAAAAAAAATTCAGATGACAGATGTAGGTATAGCTGTCCATTTCAAAACGTTACATTCGCCCCTTTTTCAAAGGCAACCACACTCCCAGCCACAGACTCATGTTGGTCAAAATATGCCTCACCCATTACGCCTGATCAGGAACCAACCACCTACAGTTCATTGTGCGTGCGACTAGAGATTCTATCATGTTAGTTCCATTTTAATAAAGTTAATTCTCTCAACGAGGTATCAGTGCCTATACCAATGACGTTAAAAAGTGCGTTGCATTATAGATAGAAATATAAAGAAACTATCAATACACTATATATAGCCCGAGTAACGTGACAGTAAATGTCTTATTGCCCAGTCAGGTGTCGGCCATATACAACTTGTAACGCCACTTATGGTTACTTGAAGCCTGGGACCTCCTAGACGGTCGGACAGATGGCTATAATAAAACATTTCCATAGTTTTCGTCTAACCAACTTTCGACATTAGTCGTCTCCCACTAATTTCCCTCAACTTCATTTACTTGCATGCAAATATATATATATATATATATATATATATATATATATATATATATATATATATATATATGTATATATATATATATATATATATATATATATATATATATATATATATATATATATATATATATATATATATATATATATATATATGCACATGTATTACTACAAATAATATCGCATGTAGCTCGCATTTAGAAGACAAATTAGATTACAATCAGCACCATTTGCAAAACTGAGATGCTTAACGGTTGTGCTTACAACATTACAACAAAAAAGATTTTTAATTTGAACCACTCCTACTAAATGTATGCCTAACGATATATAATAGTTCTATTATCTATCTATTACCATAACTATTATGTTAGTTTAAATTCCTCGAATAACTCCTCCCACCCCAACCTTATGATCCAAAAAAATAAATTAAAAAAATGCTTGGATTAAAACCAAGTTATAGAGATGACAAATCATAATATTAGAGAAAAGATATTCTTGTTAAATCTTAATAAGAAACCAACCCAAAAGCTTAAACTGGGTGAAAAGAAAGTAAGTAAACATGTGTTTTCAACTTATTGATCAAAAATTCCAAATAGGTGATTTTTTTTTTACAGAACATAAGAATAAAAAATAAACAAAGTTAATGTTGATAACTACCACCTAATTCAATATAACTATATAATTAACAAACTATCAAACCACTCCCCGCCCTGTTTTAATAATATGCGAACGATCCCTTTCAATAATTAGGTTAGACACTAATGTTAGTTTTGTTGTAAATCTTCTAATTCCTAGATCCTGACCATTTTCAATATTTTCATCTAGGCCACGTGTATGTCGTCTGTCGTAAAACGAATTTGTTAGCCACGTTTTGTCTCGTGTTTATGGCCACCAAACTTCTAGCTTACATGGCCATAAACGGCTCGGAGTTTCTATAAAAACTTGCCGATCTGATGGCAAACGTTACAAAACTACTTGCCAGGTAAGCGGGTCATAGATTATAATTCACAATATTTTTAAAATTAATTTTTTGTTTGCTTTAAACATGCAAGTAACATTGCTATATATATTTTAGAAGAATTATTCCAAAATATATTCAACATCTACAAAATTACCGACGCCAAGTTCAGTACAGTGGGGCATTATGCAAGCGTAATTAACCGCAGAAATTGTATTAACTATTAGATGGGGGTTGAAAATAAACATTCAACGATTATTTTGCTTTTAATAAATGTGACGTGCTGTGAAGTTTTTAAAAGGACACGCAAACGTGAATGTAACGAGAATTATCTGCGCAGTAACGAATTTTAATTTTTGAGCTGGATATTTAAAAAAAAAAAGAAAAACAAAAAGGAAAGAAAAAATGAATTAATTAAAAAATAAATGTAGAGAATACATTTTTTGTTTTCAAATTTTGGTCTTCAGCTCCACTATGGCCAGTCTAACTTTCTCTCTGTGTCTGCTGTTGGCTACAGCTCTGGCTGTGTGCGCCGAGCAGGAGCGATTTGATGGGTGAGTAAAACATCGCTAAAAGTTTAAATATGCTGGTCTTCTTTGATTAACAATATATCAGTTTCACGAGTTACATTTTGGAATTTTGTTTTATCTAGCTTCTAAAAGTTCATGTACCAGAATTATATTTTTTTAAATAGCGGATATTAAAATCTTCCTTTCATTGTGATATTCAGATATACGCCCCCCCCCCCCCACCCTCTGTTCAGATAACTTTTGTTCCACAAAGCAGCATTTCTTTTAATTCGTGACGAATCACTCCTATTTAAAACATTAAGAAAAAATTAGATCCAGGGAATAGGGCTCCCGACAAAAAAAAAACAACCAAAAAAAAAAAACAAACAAACAACTGAAGTTAAAATTACTTGCAACAAAAATGTCGGGTGTCGTATTGAATGTAGCGCTTCTGTTGGGGGCAGTGTTTTTTTCAGACATTTTTCTCCGGGTGGGGGGGGGGGGGCACTTTTGAGGAAAGGGGGTGGGGGCGGACTTCAATTTCCCGGGGAAGGAGGGAAGGACATAGTTTATATATATATATTATATATACGTTCTATTTCGTTCAGGGGGGGGGAGGGGGTATAGAAGTGCTTCGTTGAAGAGTTCGGTACACCCTCGAAATGTTGTCTGAAAGAAAATCTTTAAATCTATTCACAGCTTCCAGCTTCTGTTTGTGTACTCCCGTAACTTAGACGACGTCAAATTTCTGCACCAGATCGGAGAGGATTACGTTGATGTAAGTAACCCGGCACATACATTTGTTTTGCCTGAACGCAGCGTCTCTAGAAGTTCTGGGTTCAAATCCAAATGGTTTCAGCAGGAGTTACAACTCAGCATTTAGTTAAGGCCTTTAACAGTGGTTTTTTAAATGGAGTATTGGTATTAGCTTGTCAGATAATAGATTCTTCCAAAGATAGCTGTGTTAGGTTGTTGGTAGTATTGTAGTCTCAGGTTTATTTTTATATTAAGAAATTAGAGTTAGTGTTAAGGTAGGACTTGGGCGAGGGTTTGGGTTAAGGATAGGGTTAGAATTGACACTAGCAAGTCGTTTTTCTGTTTAGTTAACTACCAATAATCTAACACCTCTTTTTTTCAAAAAGATTATCTAAATGTGGCATTATCGGGCGCATACCCCATTTTTATTTTAAGGTTAGGCTTTACAGTATTCTTAAGGGTTAACACTAGACCATGGTCAAGGTTTGGGTTTAAATATAAACCAGGCTAACCTAGCTTAGTTAGATAGGTCAGGGGTCGGCAACCTTTTGAAGCGGAAGAGCCAAAAGTTACAATTTTCAAAATTTCCCTGGTTTTAAAGAGCCACTAACATTTATTTATTTTAAATATTTTATTTTTTTAATTAAGATTATTAGTATTTGTGCAAGGAGCTGGAGAGCCGCCTCTTGATATCAAAAGAGCCGCATGCGGCTCGCGAGCCGCAGGTTGCCGACTCCTGAGATAGGTTAATGTTGATAGATTATTGTTGAAACTGAACATCATAAGGTACCAAAATAAGAATAGATTTTAGTTTTTGTTAATTCGACGAAGCCAACCGATTCACATTGGTATAACGAAACAACAACAGCGCATTTATTTTCTATGTCAATAAAAAACAACTTATTTGGTTGTAATATGTGAAAAAAAAACAACAACAAAAACAAACCCCACCAAAAAACTAACAAAACACTTATTTTAAGTAGTATTGGGTTTTGTAAAAAATTTTTTTTTTTTTGGAAAACTCTAAAAAGCCAGCGTATGATGAATTTTATTTATGAAAAAAAAATAATTTTAAGATAAATACTAATTTTGTAATTTGTCCACCAAAACACCAGATCGACTTCTGGAGGGAGGCTACCCCCGAGAACAACGCCACCATCATGGTCCCTCCCACCCTACTGAACGTATTCAAGTACAAACTTGACCAGCAGGGGATCAGCTACACCATCATGGTCAACGATGTCCAGAAGTAAGTAGATGTAAAACTGGCTTTTAAAAATGTACGGCTAGACAAAGACGTGGGTATTATGGTTTAAGAAAGCTGCCTGTTAAGTCTTTAATAAACTATTAATAAACATAATTTAAAAAAAAAACGAAAGTTAAATTCTGAAATGTAATTACATATGTCTGATGAAATTGTTACACCGATAAAGGAAATTTCAACCACCACTAAACCTCTCTTCCTCTCTCTCCCACTCTCTCCGCCTCTCTCCCTCTCTCTCTCACTCTCTCCACCTCTCTCCCACTCTCTCCACCTCTCTCCCACTCTCTCTAGAATCGTGGAGGCCGGCTCAGCCCGTACACCAGACGAGGAAGTGGCCAGAAAGCGCGAGCTGACAGGTGCTAAAGTTGACCACTACAACTACCACACCTACAACCAGGTACATTTAGCTACGAATAATCAAGATTACATATATTATTTTAATTATCTTGTTATTAATTGCAAAAAAACTAGAGGCTTTTAATTACAAATACAAGCTACTACAATGTCTTCAAATACGAATGCTTGTGACGTTTTAAACGTGTTTGTACTTTACCGTGAGTTTTAAACATATTCCTGTTCACTAGATTGTCAACTATCTGAATGAACTGAAAAACGCCTACCCTGCTCGCATCCAGCTATCCAACCTCAACTACATCACATACGAAGGAAGAATCGTCTATCTCGTCAAGGTAAGCACCACGTGATGAGACCTTTTCACTCAAATGCTGAACAATGGTTCTTTCAGAATATTTTTTCTGGGATGTGATTTTTTGGGGGGGGGGGGGGAATTCACTTGAAACTTTTAGAGGGGAGGGGGGCAATTAAATTTCTGGGGGTAGAGGGATACTTGGAAAAGGATATATAATTTCTATATAAGTTTATATTTTTCCCTCTTTTTTTGGGGTGGGGGGGGGGGGTCTGAGGGCAGTTTCTGGGATGATATTGAGGGGGAGGGCGGCACTTCACTTGAAACTTTAAGAGGGGAGGGGGGCATACTGGTTATAAAATTTCTATATAAATTACATTTTTCATTTTTTCTTTAAGGGGTGGGGGCGGTGGACGTGCGTCGGTGGGGGTGGGGGCAGTTTCTCCCCCACGAAGTGTTTTCTGGTGAAAAAAACTCTGATGTTGAATATATATTTTACAAGAACAACTGTAAAATTTGACGTAGATCTATGAACATTTTTTTTCTTAGATGACCGGCTCCGCTGGATCCAACAAGCCAGCCATCATTGTGGAGACAGGCATCCACGCCAGAGAGTGGATCACCCCCGCCACATCTCTGTGGGTCATGGAGAAGGTAATCAGCTTAATTAACATGTCGTCACGTAATGACATTAGTAATTTTGTTAGTCCTGGTTTCATTTGGGCAGCTTCTCTCATACAGCTGATTCCGAGTTGTTTAGGGAACACCTCTCCATTAGATGCATCAGCTGTGTGGAGAGGGGGTCTGATACATGGGCAACATCAGGCGCATCTCCACGCACTGCCCAGGTCTAGCGTTCTGATTTTCGTGGCACAATTATCCAGACCATCAGAGGAATAATTTAAAAAAAAATAAGTGGGCACGCTGTGGCCGAGAGGTAGAGTTCTAGACTGCTAACCCGATATTTTCGTGCTCGGATCTCGAGTCTGTAGAACGTCCCTGATGTCACTTTAGGGAGACAAAGACGGCCGGGCACAGTGCAGACCACACTAGCCCCATGTATACCTTGGCCATTGAAACAGATTAACTCTACTTCATATGGGACGGAGTGGTCTAGCGGTAGAGAGCTGGACTGTTAACCCGTAAGTCTCGAGTTCGAATCCGGGTTCTAGTCAGTAGACCGTCCCTGAGTCCACCCAACTCTACTGGGTACCTAACTCACGTTAGGGAAAGTAAAGGCGGTTGGGCATAGTGCTGACCACACTATCTCTTCATATGCCGAGGTCACAGAAACAAGTGAACTCTACTTCACTTGCCCCACAGACCGTCAGGTTTGAAAGGGAAACTTTACTTTACTTTACTTTCATCTGCCCCACGTGTCTTGCGCTCGAACTGAAAAAGATGACGACGATTCCATAAATCATTAACTATATACATATCAAACAACGTAAGAATTACCTTCAATTTAAGTTAACCCGAAACTAATGAGCTGCTGATTAAATTCACTGTTCTCATATACAGCTCGCTAGAGACTACAATGCTAATGACGCCAACGCTAGAATGATGCTGGACAAATACGATTGGTACTTCATCCCAGTCACCAATCCTGATGGCTATGATCACACACACTCTACCGTAAGTAACATGGCAATATCTTTCACAAAGGTACTCAAACTATTATGAACATACATTTTACTGTAAGTTTCTTGTAGAGTAACATATACATATCTTCAACAAGGTACTCAAACTATTATGAACATACATTTTACTGTAAGTTTCTTGTAGAGTAACATATACATATCTTCAACAAGGTACTAAAACTATTATGAACACACTCACTACATTAAGTTTCTTAGTAAAATGGCAATATTTTTTAAAGACGGTTCTAAAACTAATATATATGAACACATATTTTACCGTTTCTAAGTAAAATGCTAATATTCATAACGAATGTTCTCGTACGCCTAAACTTCTGTCTTTGAAGTTAAAATTATGACATCTGTTTTTCTTACAACCAGAACCGCATGTGGAGAAAGAACAAACGTTACATCAGCGCCAGATGTACTGGCATCGATCTAAACAGAAACTTTGACGCCATGTGGGGAAGTAAGTCATTCTTTGTTATTTCAACAAAATCATATAACAAAACTCAATTATTTATTTTTATTTAAAAATATTATAAACTATGCGTGTAACTACACCTTTGAATTGAAGTAGGGGGGTAATAGTACGACTGAGATACGAAATTCGGCACAGTGGGTGAGACACGTATTCACAGCAAATTAGACTGAAGAAGTTTGCTAATAAATTGACATTTGATCTTAAATTAAACCAAAGTACAATTACACCGTGCAGTCTGCAAATTCCTCCGCTAATATTTTACTTTTTGTGTTATTGTATCACCATGCTAATTATATTTTTATTGGACGAGCTTTGTTTTAATTATTTAACACCATACTAACACAGCTTGTAAACGGTTTCATTTTTACTGGACAGGATTTGTTTTGGTTTTTTCAATATCCTACTGAATACAGCCTGTAAAATATTTGTATCCCAATCTTCCACAGCTACCGGCATCTCCACCAACTGTGCCAGCGACATCTACCCCGGCACCGGACCTTTCTCCGAGCCAGAGACCGCCAACATCAGAGACCTCTTCGAGAGCATCTACTCCAACGTCGTCGCCTACTTGTCCGTGCACTCTTACTCTCAGGTATCGTAGTTTCTCTCACACTCTCTATTTCGCGTCGTTTACACGCCATTATTTTTTACATTTTACGGTCACTTTTCACATCAAAGTAATTTTTCTCGAATGAACTATGCCTTTGTCATAAAACTTTAAAAAACGTAGTCGGTTTGCGGCGCGTCACGGCGATAAACAGTTTTATACTGTAGCGGGTATTTAGTTTGATCTGAAGATCTCATACTCTATCGATATGTCGCCACGAAAGGTTTTATACACAGTTGAAGCTATTTACTTTAAATAAATACAAATCTTAATATAGACAACAACTATCTCACTACATAAATTGGTAACACGCAGCTTTATTAAAATATTTTTTTTAAAACACAAATTTTATTAATACTAGTTAAAAAAGACATAATAAAAAGATAAATAAATATGATTTAAAACAAAATAAAATTATCAAAATATATTTCCGTATTTAATCTTTTACCATGTTTTTAGGTGTTATGAATTCTTGTTTAAAAATGTAACTCACCATTTTCAGTTCCTCCTGGTCCCATGGGGTTACACTGAGTACGTGTCTCGTCCAGCAAACGCCGCTGAACTGGTATGTATGTCACGGTGACCTCATCACACGCCACACTTAACCTTGAGAATGAGATAATAGAAAGAGTGTAGAGGAAGATTGGGAGAAATATATAGAAATACAAGCCCTTCATTTAATGGACGATAGAAATACAAGCCTATGTTTTAACTGACCCTAGAAATACAAGCCCATGTTTACCTTAAAAATACAAGCCCATGTTTTAACTGACCCTAGTAATACAAGCCAATGTTTGAGTTGACCAATTGACCATTCTCTCACCAGGACCGCGTCACACTTAAAATGTTGCAGACTCTGATTGCCACACATGGAACACAATACTACCACGGCACTGCATGGCAACTCCTCAACTGTAAGTTATTGAAGGTTTCGCGTTGACGATGGCATTATGGAATATATATATATATATATATATATATATATATATATATATATATATATATATATATATATATATGGGGGTGGCGCACATTCGAGTTTCGCCTCTTTATTGTACCGCAATATCACAATATCCGCTATAAAATCTAAAGTGTTATTCCACTGTACTGAGTGATCACTTACAGAAAAAATAAAAGGAAATAAATTAATAACTTTTTAAAGATTACATTTTATATATAATTTCTCAATTTCTATATACGCTACTCCCCCCCCCCCCAACGCCTATCGGCTCCTGCAGTGGCGCCTGTCAGAGAAAATCTCGCCTTACACTAACTTACAGTTAATAAACCTTTGCTTGGCGGTATGTGTTAATTTAATGAAAAGTTGGTTGCAATGAATAATAATAAATAACATTTATTCAAACCAATGTAGGAGCTATAGCGCCAACTTGCTTAGCAAGGGGTCCACAATGTGCGGTGTAATTAGTTGTATGATAGGTCCATCCATCAGCATCGACTTCTACGAAACATTCTGTCTCTCTTACAAAATGTATTGACAGCTGCTGCGCATTATATGTGAAATACTGTACACTGTGGGGGTTTGAGTTTGTCTTGGTGCATGTTCAATTGTTTGTACGTGTGTGTGTGTGCGTGCGTGCGTGTGCGAGTGTGTGTAGACACTGATTTCATACATGTTTTACAAAATGTTTTTCCATATACCTCGAGCTGATAGTGGACTTTATATTTTAGATGTATATTCCATAATATAGGCTGAGTTCTGCGTCACCCCCTCCCCACCCATCTGAAGCACAAAATCTGCCTACCATCGTCATTTCAATTACTTGCCCTCTGACCCTTTCAACGTGTTTATTTTTAGACGCAGCCAGCGGGGCAGCCGAGGACTGGGCCCTGACCAGAAAAGCTGGCCTCTACGGCATGTGCTACGAGCTGAGGCCACGCTACGACGACCCACGTGGTTTCATCCTTCCAGCCAATGAGATCATCGGCACCGCTGAGGAGTTCTACGCCAGTATCGTCGTCATGGCAGCCGAGATGAGAGTTTAAGACATCAAAAACTCTATCAATAAATCATCAAAAATGTTGTTGGCTTGTTTAGTGTGTTACAATTGTTGTAAAAGCATGAAATTTTAAATGAAATAAAAATATTTTTGCTCCAGTTATTTTTTGTTGTTTGTTTATGTTTAAGAACTCAAAATTTTACTTTTTATAATTAAAATAAACTCGTGTATTCTTTTAAGGGTTAAATAGTACTTCCAGTGGAATCTGACTATAAAAATCTCAATGTTTGTGAAAAAAATCTCTCGTTTATACAGAAAACACATAGAGGCGAAAAGTTATTAAAATATGCTTTATGTAAATGTAATATAAAATTATTGAATTCTGAGTTTTTTTAAAAAATAAAATTGGGCATTGAGTAAAATATTTCTTCCGGTTAACGGAAATCGCCCAAAAGCTGATAGAAATATACGTACAGAAACTAATACTTAAATATGAAATTTCATCCACCTAACTGTAATAGTACCTAAGTTCTAATTTTCATATAAAACACCAGGAAACCACCCACAAGTTGGCAGAAATCAGTGTATAAAATGTTATACATGAGATTTCGTCCATCTGACTCTAATTGTACTCAAATTATCAATATTTTAGAAACCTGAAATAAACTACTACTCTTGATATCGAAAGGCACTAAAAAATTAATAAAAATCAAGTATAAGATACTTATATATGAAATTTCCTCTCAAATTTTCATGTTCCTACCGAAAAAGAGTAAAGTACCCATTCCGGGGTGGCGGAAATTGTTCAAAAGTTGATTGGTGCATGTGCATACAATCTAATACTTATATTTTAAATTTCGCCCAGCTACCCGAAACGGTGCTCAAGATATCGGCTTTTAATAAACCGGAAAGGAAATAAGCACCACTTCCGGTAACCGGAAAAAGCTCTAAAGTTTAGATTTAAAAATGTGTCCTAGTTGACTATAAAAACATAAAAAAAAGAAAACCACAATCAACTTACTCTTGACTAATGAGCGTTATTTCTAATCAAGTACTGATTGAAAAGTGTTGTGAGAGAAAAGCCAAATTAATTGAATAATTATTGAGTGATGGGATGGGACAAGACATGAGTAACGAGTAGCAGGACTCGTCCGGAATTCAAACTACAGAGCCTGATTGGTCAGTAAAAATCAAAACAAGAAATGAACTTATAAGGTGTAAACAAAAAAAACCGGAGAGAAACACTCCAGTACAGCTTGAAATGACTACCGTGACGGTCAGAAAAATGCTGCTGTACTGATGTACATTTTCTCGTACTTAGGCAATATTTTGATTGTACATGAGGTGTATGAGTTTGTGTGTGTACGTGCATTTATTAGTTTATGTGTATTTGTAAGTTTATATGTATTTAACTTTGTGTATATGTAAGTGTTCGCGTATGTGTACTTGTAGATCCAAGAGTAGGCCTACATGAATTATCGAGTTTATATATGTATCCATGTACATATATGTAAGCGTGTCTGTCCATAAACCATCCTTGGTTGTCGGCATCATTTCATGTTTACGTATAAGCGTATTCCTATATGTATATGTATGCATGCAAATTTGTATGTTTGATGTACATATCCACAACACTATTAAAAAGATTAAATTATCACTTTTAATTACTACATATTGCTTTTGAATCCCCGAGAAGCATAGAGAAGAGACAATGAATTCTGTGTGTTTTTACATACTGCAATACCAATCCGTCTTCCCCTATCTGTCTTTCGACAGATCTCTATCATGACAAATTTCATTAATCTCTTTCTTTGCCTGTGGATACCACCGTGTCTGATGGTGTAATGAAGTAATCACTACACTGAATATACATTTCTGATTACAATTAATCAATGGTATTTTTTTTTTCTAACTTTGATTTGGATGTGCTCGCATATCTTCATACAAATCGTATAATTATTTGTAAAACAAAAATAAATATCAATTTCGTGAAACACAATGAGATCTTAATTACACTCTCTTCAGAATAAATACTCGTACACTGTAGTGTCTAATGAGGACTTCATTTCAAGTGTCTCAGTAACTCTACAATCCTCTGATCCCAGGTTCACATTTTACTTCACAGAGGACAAAGCAGGCCTTGTTTTTCTCTTTTAAAAGTCAGACATATATATATATATATATATATATATATATATATATATATATATATATATATATATATATGTATATTTTTATGCGGTAAGTTATTGTATCTGTATATGTTTATTGATTAATAATTTTTCACATGATGTGCCCCTAAGGAAGACCTTCGTCTCTAGATCTATGACTGATTGTAAATTTAAAGAGTTTTGTAGAAATTTAAACTATCATTTGTGAGTCTTAGACAGGCTACAATGAAAATGAGATGAACTAAAATACTTTGCTACGTATCTGCATTCAAGTTGGATCTCATTGACCGTGGAATATTCGACTTGATCGCGTCCTAATTATAAAAAGTTAAATTCTAGTTAAATTCTCTATTTCAGCTTCATCATGGCCAGTTTTACGTTCTCCGCGTGTCTTCTGTTGGCTACAGCTCTGTCTGTGTGCGCCGAGAAGCAACGGTTTGATGGGTGAGTACAGGTGTGATGGGTGAGTACAGGTGTGATGGGTGAATACAGGTGTGATGGGTGAGTACAGGTTTGATGGGTGAGTACAGGTTTGATGGGTGAGTACAGGTTTGATGGTTGAGTACAGGTTTGATGGGTGAGTACAGGTTTGATGGTTGAGTACAGGCTTGATGGTTGAGTACAGGTTTGATGGTTGAGTACAGGTTTGATGGTTGAGTACAGGTTTGATGGGTGAGTACAGGTTTGATGGGTGAGTACAGGTTTGATGGGTGAGTACAGGTTTGATGGGTGAGTACAGGTTTGATGGGTGAGTACAGGTTTGATGGGTGAGTACAGGTTTGATGGGTGAGTACAGGTTTGATGGGTGAGTACAGGTTTGATGGGTGAGTATAGGTTTGATGGGTGAGTACAGGTTTGATGGATGAGTACAGGTTTGATGGGTGAGTACAGGTTTGATGGGTGAGTACAGGTTTGATGGGTGAGTACAGGTTTGATGGGTGAGTACAGGTTGTATGGGTGAATACAGGTTTGATGGGTGAGTACAGGTTTGATGGGTGAGTACAGGTTGTATGGGTGAATACAGGTTTGATGGGTGAGTACAGGTTTGATGGGTGAGTACAGGTTGTATGGGTGAATACAGGTTTGATGGGTGAGTACAGGTTTGATGGGTGAGTACAGGTTGTATGGGTGAATACAGGTTTGATGGGTGAGTACAGGTTTGATGGGTGAGTACAGGTTGTATGGGTGAATACAGGTTTGATGGGTGAGTACAGGTTTGATGGATGAGTACAGGTTTGGTGGGTGAGTACAGGTTTGATGGGTGAGTACAGGTTTGATGGGTGAGTACAGGTTGTATGGGTGAATACAGGTTTGATGGGTGAGTACAGGTTGTATGGGTGAATACAGGTTATATGGATGAGTAAAGGTTTGATGGATGAGTACAGGTTTGGTGGGTGAGTACAGGTTTGATGTACAGGTTTAATGGGTGAGTACAGGTTTGATGGGTGAGTACAGGTTTGATGTACAGGTTTAATGGGTGAGTACAGGTTTGATGGGTGAGTACAGGTTTGATGTACAGGTTTAATGGGTGAGTACAGGCTTGATGTACAGGTTTGATGGGTGAGTACAGGTTTAATGGGTGAGTACAGGTTTGATGTACAGGTTTGATGGGTGAGTACAGGTTTGATGGGTGAGTACATGTTTGATGTACAGGTTTGATGGGTGAGTACAGGTTTGATGGGTGAGTACAGGTTTGATGGGTGAGTACAGGTTTGATGGGTGAGTGCAGGTTTGATGTACAGGTTTGATGGGTGAGTACAGGTTTGATGGGTGAGTACAGGTTTGATGTACAGGTTTGATGGTTGAGTATAGGTTTGATGGTTGAGTACAGGTTTGATTGGTAAGTACAGTTTTGATGTGTGAGTACAGGTTTGATGTGTGAGTAGGCTTTATATGTTTTACATCAGAAAACATCTTATGTAATTGGGCTGAATACGAATTTTAGAATGAAATAGATGTGGCCTTTTGTTTTACTAAGCAGACAAGCTTCATACTACAAAATGCGTATACGTTACTGAAAAGTTAAGAATTTAAAAGATTGAAATCTGTTCTAACTTTAGTACATGTTTGCCATGGTTGATGCATGTTTCAAAACCCGGCAATCAGTTCATGTCTATTTATTTCATAAGCCGTTTGAATTTACAAGACGAAAGACTTATCATGCTTGAAAATAAAACCCCCACAGTTTGTCTCTATAAAGGTTGCTCTCATTTCTCTTCTGAATAGCTAAACCTATGCTAAATCTCCGCACTAATTGACTAATACTGTTTAACGATACTAAAACCATGCTCTTATTGACTTTAATCATGTTTAATGATGTTAAAACCACGCACGTTTTCTTACCTCGACAGATTTAAGGTTTTCTTGGTTTCTTGCCGTAATTTGGACGATGTCAAATTTCTCCACCAGCTCAGCGAAGAGTTCGTCGAGACTACTGTAAGTCAGCTCCCACATACTGATGGCAATACGGCTGGTAAGTAGGTCACCAACCAGTTCTATGGCTCAATAAAATCTGCATGAGCCATAGAACTGGTTGGTGACCTACTTATCAGCCCTATTTTTAAAAAAAAACGTCATGACGGATTGATGTCCCAGAACCCGGACGTACTAGTCCACATTTTAATGAAACGAATTTACTAAAAAAATATAGATCCAATTTATTGTTAAAACCCACACTGTTTTACCAACTATTTTCTCTAAGAATTAAGTTTGTAATGTTTTTTCTTTAGTGTTTGGACTAAATTGAGACCAAGAATAGAAGTCGGGGGTTGTGGATAAGTTTGTTTTGGGTTCGGTCACTTAGATGCCAGTTTAAAGTATCTAATTGCGAGCTTTAGCCAGCGGTATTTGCAATAACCGAAGGACATAATTTAAAATTAAGTAAACATGAATGGTTTATTTTTTGGTTCACTTTGCGAGGTTAGTTTGACAAAAGCATTCAAACACGTGGTATTTTTTAATTATTAAAACAGCATTTAATAGTTAATAGATCATTCAGATAATATAATTATTTTTCAGCTTTTACATATTTTATTTAAAAAAAAAAAACGCCAATTGAAACATTGTTATAAAAATAGGTTTATTCATTTATCAGAATCACCAGATCGACTTCTGGAGAGAGCCCACCCCCGGGCACAACGCCACCGTTATGGTCCCTCCCACCCTGCTGAACATATTCAAGTACAAACTTGACCAGCAGGGGATCAGCTACGTCGTCCATCACGAAAATGTCCAGGAGTGAGTAACTGTTACAGATGGGTTTAAACCAGTGGCGTAGCGAGGTCGGGTGTCACCCGGTGCGGCACTTAATGGTGTCACCCCTCCCCCCAGAGGCGTAGCGACTCTTCCCGGGGACAAACTTTCAATTTTCAATTTGCACCCCCCCCCCCCTTAAACTTTCGAATTACACTCCCCCCTCAAACTTTCGATTTGCACCTTGCACCCCCCCCCCCCTCAAATTTTTCTCTATATATTTTACTATTTTTTGCCTTGGTGTCACCCCCCTAAATGGTGTCACCCGGTGCGGTCCGCAATCTCAGCCCCCCCCCCCCCCTCGCTACGCCTCAGGTTTAAAATACTTAGAAATATGTATGGTTAAGATCATAGCGTAATAATTTCGGACCAAGAAGGCTGTGCTGTTTTCACCTGAAGATTAAAAAATATATTTTGGAAACATGAACTCTTTGTTGAGCAGTAGAGAACTCTGTCGCTAACCCAAATGTCTCGAGGTCGGATCTCGGTCCGGACTTAAGTCCTTAGGTCTTCTCTGAGTCCGCCCAGTTATGATGGGTACCTGGGCCTAGGACTGACCACATCATGTCTTCATAGGTAGAGGTCAAGAAATGATGGGTACCTGGGCCTAGGACTGACCACATCATGTCTTCATAGGTAGAGGTCAAGAAATGATGGGTACCTGGGCCTAGGACTGACCACATCATTTTTTTCATAGGTAGAGGTCAAGAAATGATGGGTACCTGGGCCTAGGACTGACCACATCATGTCTTCATAGGTAGAGGTCAAGAAATGATGGGTACCTGGGCCTAGGACTGACCACATCATTTTTTTCATTGGTAGAGGTCAAGAAACACATGCTACAATTCATTTGCCCTCTGGAACTGAGTTCCGAAAAGGGAACTTGACTTATACAGAGCTCTGTCGATAAAAAAAGTTAACAAGTAGAGTGGGTTGTAAAGAATTTATTTTTGACAGCCCCTAGTAAGGCAGGGTTCTCCGAAACGCAATGAAAGATATTACAAGTTGTATGAAATCCCCCCCCCCCCCCATGTAGAATGGTGGACGCCGGATCTGTTCGTACACCTGTGGAGGAAGTGACCAGACGAAGTCAGGCGTCACGTGCTGGAGTTGACCACTACAACTACCACACCTACAACCAGGTACAATTTCTGCACTGTCTAGCTATTAGAAAATAAAGTGAGAACATGGATATGACTTAAGGAAAACTGTTTCTCGACCGACTTTCTTGAATCAATTCTACGAAAGGTCTACTAAACTAAGCCTCGCTGTCATTTATGTTTTGTGGTCATTCTGATGTAGCTTTAAACAATCATTGTTGAACATGTTTCATTAGCTTTATCTACATTTCTATTATGTACACGGTGGAAGGGGTTTACAGTGACGTATAAACATATTTCTATTATATAGATTGCAAATTATCTAACTAAGCTCCGAAGGGCCTACCCAGCCCTCATCAAGTTATCGAACCTTCCTTACACAACTTACGAAGGACGACTCGTCAACTTTGTCAAGGTGACTACCAAATCCTTTTTAATTTTCATTTTTTTTCCCGTCGTTGTTGATTGTAATATCAAAAGGGGAACAAATTGGCTCTTATCACTACCCAGGCTTTGTGCTTAGATTTCCAATGCGCAACCATCCAATGGCCCGTTTAGCACAAGGAGCCATCTTTTTTTTAAGGGGATATTTTCCAATTACAATTAAACATTATCTATCAATGCGTTAAGCTACAAGTGGTTTGTTGACTTCGATTTCAGCCTGCTTTTCTTTCTGGAATGATTTGCATAGTCTTATTCCACGCAAGAAAAATCTGCAATGCAGATCCGTAGCGAGGGGGGGGGGGGGGGGGGGGGGGGGGGGCGGGGGTGTAATATGTCCCTGGGTGCCGACCTTAGGGGGCGCCAAAATGGGTTGGAAAAACAAATTAAAAGTTAGAAGGGAGGGGTGCAAATTGAAAGTTTGTCCCCGGGCGCCGGGAAGGGTCGCTACGCCTCTGATGCAATGGACAAGTTGTTTTATTTTGATGGGTTACTTTCCCCAGCTGACGCGAGCCTCATCCGAATGGGGGTCCGAAGTCGGCAATTTTGGAGCTAGCAATAGGGGGTCGGCTTGGTCGAGTCGGTAAAGCTCCTTGTTGTTAAACCGAAAGGCTCGAGTTCGAACCCTCGGGCAGATAAGGCTCGACAGCTAGGGACAATAACTTCTAGGAGAGACAACTCCAAAATAAAACAACTGCTGCATTGTAGCTTGTTCTTGGTTGGACAAAGGCTATGGAAGTAAATCCAAATAGAAAAGCAGTCTGAAATCGGAGTCAACGGCCTATAAGGCGCATAACTAGTTGACACGTAATACTTAATTGTGATTGAGGGGATTCCTTCATCACTAGTATTAAGAAAGAGGAAAAAGGAGCTAGCAATCATACGTTCTCAGTCCAGCGCTCTTTTGAGTATAAAATATGTTTGTAAAATACTATGTAAGAGTTGTTCAATACAATTTCAAAGAATTTCTGTATTACTATAAGATGAGAGGGTATACTCGAGCCAACAAGTCAGCCATTATTATTGAGGCCGGCATCCATGCCAGAGAGTGGATCGCACCTGCAACAGTCTTGTGGGTCATAGAACAGGTGAGAGGTCATAGAACAGGTGAGAGGTCATAGAACAGGTGAGAGGCTCAAAACGATTTGCTGCACGAATAACAGGTGGGGATAATAATGCAATCTCCTGCCCCTTCATCTAACATAGCCTACATTCCAGATGTTTACTAATTCCAACAGCACAAAGTGATTCAATCTCTCTCTCTATATATATATATAATTCTCTTCATGGAGACCATAGAAAACACCACGCAGCTTAGCCACCACCCTCATTCCCATCTGCCAGGTGAGCTGTGGTTCACCCCGAATGTTTACAATCGTAGAACCGGGTTAGTGACGGCTAATAGGGGCAGATAATTTAGTATTAAACGATTTGAAACGAAAGGAAGGTAACAATTTCTGATTGATATTTTCTTTGTAAACGGCTGCTTTTACTGGGCGGGAAGGGGTGGGGGTGTGGGGGGGGGGGGAAGGGAGGATGGGAGGGGGTAGTGTTGAATTCACAAATTATGAATTGCTGATAAGCAGAAAATAAAACAAGTAGATGGCGGCTTATAAAACGTCGCGGGTCAGCTCGTAGATAATAAATTATCTGTAAATTATCAGTGTTTATTTCAGGCATCATTCCTGGAGGGGGTGGGGCGGACTAAGCCCATTCCCTGGAGCACGCCCACCGAACCTTCTAGGTCGAAACATTTAAAAAAAAATTCTAAAATAAGTTCATTGTAATTTAAAGTTCGCTGTCACCCCCAAAAGTGCCAAGTGCCTCCCCTACCCCTCTTACCAAAACTAAGTGCATCATCATAAGTGTTAATTCACCGGATTATTGTACCACTGATTTTATTTTTCCTAAACTGTTAGCAGCCTAAGCTCTAACCGTGATTTATTACAAAGATATAAAAATTCCCGCCTTCCAATATCCCCATTACAGCTCGCCATGGAGTACACAGCAAACGACGCCACCGCAAGACTAATGCTGGACACGTACGATTGGTACTTCATCCCAGTCACCAATCCTGATGGTTATGAGTACACACACAGAAATAACAGCGTAAGTTTGCTTATAAGGAAAGCGGTCTTTTTTTGTTCTATTGCGTGGAAATACACGGGGCCTTGATTTTATTTCTTAGTGAAGTTGTGAACGGATTAGAGTCAGGTGAAAGGTTAAAGGTTACGGCTAAGGTTACAAGTTAAACCTAAATGTTCTATCCCCACTCCAGAACCGCTTGTGGAGAAAGAACAAACGTTACATCAGCGCCAGATGTACTGGCGTCGATCTGAACAGAAACTTTGACGCCATGTGGGGAAGTAAGTCATCCAGCACTATTGTATTTAAAAATTCTTTTTTTGTGGTTTCTGCGATTTCAAAATGTCCGTTTTATGTGTCATTTTCATTTTTACAATAAAACTTGTCTTACATTTCTAATGTCCTCTCACTTAGTATGTCCAAATAGTATTGAACCAACCAGCCTGAACGGTTTTGTATTGTTCTAGTTTGGTTTACCTATTCGTAATTTAATGCAAGATAATAGAGCAGTAAAAAAAATTAAAACGCAAGGTGGCTTTAACATGTAATTTGAAAAAAAGCTTTCTCTGTGTTATTTTGATTTTGTTTAACTGATTTATGGATGCAAAGTTTTACCGAAAAAAATAATGTTAATGTTTTTTTTTCAGCAACTGATATTTCAATGAATTGTGCCAGCGACATCTACCCCGGCACCGGACCTTTCTCCGAGCCAGAGACCGCCAACATCAGAGACCTCTTCGAGAGCCAGTACCCCAACGTCATCGCTTACTTATCCGTGCACGCTTATGGACAGGTGTTGTAAATTTCCCCACATCAATACAACGCAAACATAAACATAAACGCAAACATAAACGCAAACATAAACGAAAACAAAATGAATACATTTATAAAAGGATTCTAAATTATACTGATTGCTACAATAATTAGTAAACAGTATTTTTTAGCTTATAAAATAAATGAAGGTAGTATTTACAACACAACACAAAACAATACAAACACAAACGAAAACAAAAACCTAACAACAAACCCAACCACAACCCCAACACAAACAAAAATACTAAGAAAAAACAAACGAAAACAAACCAAATCTAAACACAAACTCAACCACAAACCCAACCACAAACCCAACCATAACACAACACAAACACAACCATAACACAACACAAACAAAACACAAACACAACACAAACACAACACAAACACAACACAAACACAACACAACACAACATAAACACAACACAAGCACAACACAAGCACAACACAAACACAACCAAAACACAACACAAACACATTACAAAAAAACACAAACACAACACATACACAACACACACACAACACAACACAAACACAACACAAACGCAAGACAAACACAACACAATCCGGGACGGCTAGTATTATATAAAATAGTATATCTTCTTGTAGTTTGGTGTCTGTAAAAGAGCTTTCTGGTGCGACCGACAAAAACGAATTCCCTTTCGTGAGCAAAAAATGACAAACAAAAACGAAAACGCAAAAACAGACATAAATAATAACCTTTGGGAATTCCCGTTCCCGAATAAAGATGCATTTTATTACTTCAACTGTCTTTGATTTAAAATAACAATAAGAAAACAGTACATTCAGTGTATAGAATAAATAAAATGCAGTTTTTAAAAATACCTACAACATTGCACTTGATCAATCCCCGCTAATTATGTAATTATTTTTTTTCCTAACACCAGAACAAAGTAATAAAAAGTAAATTCTTTTCCCCGCTGTAATGATTTTTATAAAGGCAAGTAATTGTGTTTTCCTAATTTTGCAAGGGACGTAATTAGCGCTAAAGTACTAAATGTAAATAATTTTCAGACACAGTTAGAAGTTTTATGAACATTGATACATTTTTTAATAATTTGGTTTAATGAACATGCCGATAATTATTATTATAAGTTCGAAAAATGAAAAAATTGTTTTACATTACCTTGAATATTATATTTTTAAATCATGAATTCAGACAATAAGCACTTTAGACATTTAACACTTGACGTTATTTAAGTATCGTTTTTTCTTATATCCCTTTGAAATCCACAACAAACATACATTTTAAAAACATACAGAATTGAACTTTTGATGCAATTGTTTTAAATTGCAATAATATTAAACTTATAATAATAATTGTCGGCATATTTAAATTAGAAATGATAAATATTGATTTTTCTAGACATCAATTGAAATGTACATTTTCCAGCTTGTTATGGTTCCATGGGCCTACAGCGTCACTGGGTCGCGTCCTCCTAATGCTGCTGAGCTGGTAAGTTTGTTAACATGATGTCGTCACTAATTTACTTCATTTATGAACTAATATACCGAAGTCACATTCAAAGTTTCTTTCAGGCAATTATTCAAAGGAAATAGAATTTATATAGAAAATGTATACTTTTACCAGTGTCCATCCCCGCTCCCCGGAAAATTTAGTCCGCTCCCCCCCCCCCCAAACAATTTCAAGTGCCCCCCCCCACCCCGGAGAAATAAATCTGAAATACACGTTTCCTACTTTTGGCCGTTGTACCCCAATCATGCATACAGTGCTTGTTTCAGAATTATTTTCTCCGGGAGGAGGAAGGGGAGGGGGGTTGAACTTGCCCTTTGGGGGGGGGGGGACGACTAATTTTTCAGCTGGGCGGGACAATGGTAAAAGTATATATTTTCTATATAAATAATATCTCGTCCAAGGAAAGGAGCGGTAGACTTCTGCGAAGAGATGCCTGAAAGAAACTCTATATGTAGACCAGTAGCGTACGCAGGGGGGGGGGGGGGGGGAGCAGGGGGCGCGGCCGCTACCCCTCTGGCCATTTTCAGCAAAGTGGCGCCTTTTTGGAAACTTTTTAAACTCAAAGTTTCAAACAATGATATTTGTTAAAAAATATTTTTGGTCGGCACATCTATGTAAATCACAAGATTTCTTTTCATGCAGCAATTAAGCATTATTGTACTAGTCTAGTATTGTCTACGTTTACAACACGTATTAACAGCTGCATCAGTTTGTCATTCTTAAAATAACCATTAAGAAGCATTGGAATTTTTAAAAATCCTCTACCGGTAGTAGGCCTACCTTGGTAAGAGGGGTGTTAAGTTTAAGGCAACTGTATAATGTATTTGCTTACGAATCATTGCATTAGAAAATGTTATACATAAAACTTCACACATAATTACTTTATATATACAGCTTGAATCGTGTGATTAATTTTTAAAAAATTACAATACAGAAACAAATACAACTTATGTGGTACCTCTATTTAAATTTTCTTATGGGCAAGCTGCGTAGAGGTGGGGAAATTTTGACACGGTCAACAACATCATCACGATGAAGTAGTAGTATTCTTACAGTTTGGGCGATAGTGATACGATTACAAATGATATAAAACAGTTACAGCCCCCCTCCCCCATGGACCCCTCTGTAAAAAAATATTGTCATAATACCACTGCTACTTATTTAAATCTATTTCTGAATCAGTATACATATGTAATATATATGTATGTTTAGAACAGTCATCTAAAAACTGACGCTATGTTCTTTCTGAGTTGGTTATCTCCCTCCCACACCTCACCACCACAATTGTGTAGAGCGACATTAATGTCACACCTAGGTATACGCTGGGTTGGATAATTGACCTAAAGTGACCGGACAGTAAAAAGGTGTGTGAGCAATACAGTGATCTAACCCATACCTATCACTATGTTAATAATAATCATTAAAAAAGTTTTTAAAAACCCACGTTTTCTGATTGAACTAAAAAGTAGAAAATAAATGCTATAGGCCCTACATCACAATAATGCAAGCGATCACTCTACTATAAGCGATCAAAAACGTGGGGCGCCGAAGTAAAAGTTATATTACTATTGATTAGATAATACTATTGACTTTTATTAGGGAGCTTGTAGAGAGTCAACAGTATTAGAAACTGTAAGAAAATCACGGCGCCCCACGTTTTTGCTCGCTTATAGTAGAGTGATCGCTTGCATTATTGTGATGTAGGGCCTATAGCATTTATTTTCTACTTTTTAGTTCAATCAGAAAACGTGGGTTTTTAAAAACTTTTTTAATGATTATTATTTTCTACTTTTTAGTCTTTGTCTGTTTGTTTGCATTAAAATCTTGCTATCGATTTTATCTTTTCACTTTTTTTTGGGTAAACGAAGACAACTCGTAAAAAGACAACTCGTAAAAAGACAACTCGTAAAAAGACAACTCGTAAAAAACACGTTGTTTGAATACGTTACTGACTAGAACACATAGATTTGAACCCGTGTCGAGTGGGATAGCAATCGTGTGCCCAACCACTCGACCATATCGTCTCCCCCAAACTGGCCTACCTCCTGTAAGTTTAAACTCGGTTCAAGCTAAATTCTCTGCCCCTAAGCCTGTGGCGACATGTGATCGTTCGCTTCACTGCGCGCGAGGTACGCGTCGCTGGTTTTTTTTTGTAATGGCTAGCAGAGGAGAATTATATATATAGATTATATAGCGGTCTAAAATGCTCAATAAAATGTTTCCATTGATCAATTTAGTAATAATAACAATTGAATATTCAATGGTCATCCAAAAGAAAGCTTCCCTGAAAATTTCAGCGCGCTAGCTAACTGGGAAGTGCCAGAAATTTCGATCGCAAGATTGGATTGGAAAGACAAACAAATAAATAAATAAACACACAGAGAAAGCAAGTTAAAGAAAACGTGGTAAAAATGATCTTTAAGGAACACAAAGAAGCAGTAGTTAATAAAAAAACATATGATCTAAACTAAATGACCGACATTTAGTTAAATGTAAACTGTTATTCCGAATGTTTTTCAATTATATCGAAAAGCGTGATTTTATACCAACTCTGACTTAAAAAAAACTTTCATTATGCTGTAATACTTTAGCATTTATGATGACAATATATTTAATTCTGATTATAGACAAAAACATTTTGTTAACACGAATAGCTTTAAACAATTTCATTATATTCTAAAGTAATTATTTATTTGTTTTGACATTTATAATTAAATGTGTAGATATATCGATATTTATAGTAAGAGAGTGATTATTTCCCCTATTTCACTTGTCTTAAATAATTTCCCAGGAATTATTATGTAAGAAATGTTTTACGAAAATTACAAAACAGATTGTGTTACGTTCATTGTTTTTGGTTGTAGTGTGTGTATATTTTGTTTGTTTTTTGTTTAGATTGATACAATTTTTGTTTTGTCGGCCTACATTGTGTGTTTTTTTCTTATTTCTTAAGAGTGCTACTTTCAATTTATTTTACATCACAGCGAAGTAATGACATACAGCTAGTAATTATATATATATATATATATATATATATATATATATATATATATATATATATATATATATATATATATATATATATATATATATAGTACGTGTAAAAATTCGGCGCCTTTTTTTCGCTCCCCCTACAACGAAAACCTGGATACGCCTCTAATGTAGACCACTTTTAAGATTAGACAAATAAATTAGGCGGTAATGTGTCTTTATTGTGTGTACATTTCCGGCTTAGATATTTCGTTTCGTTTTTGAAAATTTCCTGTATGTTCCAAGTGACATCACTGTCGTTCATTGTGGAGTTTTTAAACATTTCCTTATGTTTTCTCCAGAGCGTTTCGGACAGACAGACAGATTAGCGAAACTATTTTAGTGATAATATTAGGAAGATTTACATATTATATTGTGAAACATTTCTTTTCTCCCCTCCAGGGGCGGAACTACAGTGCCGCCAGACCCCGCAATGCGGGGGGGCCCAGACCGAATGGGGGCCCAAAAATCCCGGCTAAATTATTTTAAAAAAAATTTAAAATAAAAAATTTAAAAAAAAAAAAAAAAAAAAATAGGTGGAGGTCGAGTTATCTTTCTTCTACAGTTACAAAAAAAACACGATAGTCGGCAAACGTCTTTGAAAAAAAAAGTACAGACTATAGCTCGAGAGACCGCCAGACATATAGACAACTTCAAAGACGCAGGGGCGGAACTACAGTGCCGCCAGACACCGCAATGCGGGGGAGGGGGGCAGACCGATTGGGGGCCCAAAAATCCTGGCTAAATTATTTTTTAAAAAAAAAATGTAAAAAAAAATTAAAACAAAAAAAAAATTAAATTTTTTTTTTTTTTTTAAATTAGGTGGAGGTCGAGTTATCTTTCTTCTACAGTTATAAAAAAAACACGATAGTCGGCAAACGTCTTTGAAAAAAAATGTACAGACTATAGCTCGAGAGACCGCCAGACATATAGACAACTTCAAAGACGCAGGGGCGGAACTACAGTGCCGCCAGACACCGCAATGCGGGGGAGGGGGGCAGACCGATTGGGGGCCCAAAAATCCTGGCTAAATTATTTTTTAAAAAAAAAATGTAAAAAAAAATTAAAACAAAAAAAAAATTAAATTTTTTTTTTTTTTTAAATTAGGTGGAGGTCGAGTTATCTTTCTTCTACAGTTATAAAAAAACACGATAGTCGGCAAACGTCTTTGAAAAAAAAATGTACAGACTATAGCTCGAGAGACCGCCAGACATATAGACAACTTCAAAGACGTAGCCTACCTTTTTAGTTTTAGTGGCGTCGATTAGGAGAACAAAAAAGGATTGTTATATTGTTTACATTATTAAATATATATATATATATATATATATATATATATATATATATATATATATATATATATATATATATATATATATATATATATATATATATATGATTGTGTGTTTAAACTACTGGCCTGGACTCTACAAAAAATATAATTATTTATTTCGATGTCATACATTTATAATTGCGTTCATTTTTACTTTAACAACTGTATCAATAAACTTGTGAAAGTTTAAGTTATCTCCCTTTAGCGAAGCATCTGAAGTTTTTGCCGGCACGCTTTGAAATCGGGCTGGGGAAATGTTGCGGCGACTATTCTGGTCTTCTAGACGACCGGAAAAAGTCGGCACTATTGATGTAGATGTTTATCGGCACTTTCTAGTCCCCTTCCTTTGAACCTTCCCAACTCTCACCCCTCCCCCCTCACCCCCCTCTCACCCCTACCCCTCACCTCTACCCCTCACCACACCCTTACTTTTACAATAAGATGTAATGCATAGATTAACGAACTACTGAACTGTAAACTGACTACTTCTGCACATTTTGTTAAAGACACTAGTCAGTAGTTGTTCATTTACCTGATGAAGTATTTTGTTGACGAGTCTAATTCACACAACAAGGAAGGTAAGGCTCGTCTTTATATTATTAATTGTTTTATAATTAGTACACGTATTAATTGAACATTAGTTATTAACACTAAATACATTAAAGTTAATCAAATTTAGGATACAATGATCTAGCTTTTAAGCCTAAAAACAACCAAAAGATCTATATCACCTTTGAATGTATTAATGTTTAATTTCATGTTTAGCCCGTAACGGGGAGGGGTTATATTCGGTTATAATATGGGTGGGTCTTTGGCAGTGTTTCTTCCAGACTTTTTTCTTCGGGGGGGGGGGGGGGGGGCACTTGAAATTTTCGGAGGGGGGGGGGGGGCGGGCACTGTTAAAAGTATATATTTTCTATATAAATTATATAAATTTAATTTCTTTCGGGGGGGGGGGGGGGGGTGCGGACCGCACCGGGTGACACCATTTAGGGGGGTGACACCAAGGCAAAAGATAGCAAAATATATAGAGAAAAACTCGAGGGGGGGTGCAAATCGAAAGTTTGACGGGGGGGTGCAAATCGAAAACTTGAGGGGGGGGGGGTGCAAATCGAAAACTTGAGGGGGGGGGGGTGCAAATCGAAAATTTGAAAGTTTGTCCCTGGGAAGGGTCTCTATGCCTCTGGGGGGGTGACACCATTAAGTGCCGCACCGAGTGATACCCGACCTCGCTACGCCACTGCACCCGATATATATATATATATATATATATATATATATATATATACATATAGATATATATATATATATATAGGGGCCTAAAAAAATTTTTTGCGGGGGGGCCATTTTTTTCTAGTTCCGCCACTGCTCCCCTCCCTATGTAGGATCGCGTAGCCTTAAAAGTGACGGAAGCTTTGATAAACAGACACGGAACTCAATATACGCACGGAACTGTAAAGAAACTCATTGGAAGTAGGTGACGAACTATCCAACTAACCATATACATATAGGCCTACATATGCAAGTTTCATCCACCTGCTAGAGTGAAAGGACTATGCGTTCTGTTCATGTGGTCTAAATAATACACAAAAGATTCTTGCGTACGTGTGCTAATGAATAAGCTACCGTTATATTTTGAGACCAGTCTTTTTATCGGGCCTGTTATTTGATTTGGTTCATAAGTGACGTCACTTACCAATCAGGCGGGGGCGGAGAATGTGGTTGTATTGGGATACATTTTCGTAACGCTAATTATTAGTTTTAAATTTTAATTGACATTTTTTTGACGGGCGGAGAAGAGGAAAGGGAAACATATAATCTTTGTGAGACATCGTTAGTTTATATTCTCTGTGATGAAAGTGATGAATAAAAGGTGACGTAAATTATGATGATTTGTGTGTGTGTGTGTGTGTGTGTGTGCGCGCGTGTGGTAAGTCCTGGACTACTTTATGACATCATTTTAGAAGGGAGAGGTGAGGGAATGTGGAGGGGTGAGGTAATGTTGAGGGTTGAGGGAATGTGGAGGGGTGAGGGAATGTGGAGGGGTGAGGGAATGTGGAGGGGTGAGGAAATGTGGAGGGGTGAGGGAATGTGGAGAGGTGAGGTAATGTTGAGGGGTGAGGTAATGTTGAGGGGTGAGGTAATGTACTTTTTGTGAGACGACAACAGCAAATTAAAAAAAAACGGGCTTCATTTATCTTTAAAAAAAAAATCTTGTTTTATTTTATAAGCTGATTATAGTGATTTTGAAACTGCTAACAGCTATGATTGTTGTGTAACAACTAGACCTATTCATCCCACCTTACAGAAGGAGTGTCGGGTTCGTCCATGGACTGGGCTCTTCAACGCCGAGCTAACCTCTACACCATGGCCTTTGAACTTCGACCTGCCATCGGCTCAGTAAACTTCTTCCTGCCTGCCTCAGAGATAGTCCCAACGGCCGGGGAGTTCTACGCCGGGCTCAAAGCTATGGCTCCAGAATTAACGGAAATCTAACTCGCTTATCAACGCATTAAAATGATTTAAACATAAATAGAATTTTTTTTTTCGATTTTTAAAGTAATTGTACTCCTTGCATTTTATTCAACGAAGTTTTAAATATCATTACTGTCAAGTTTATTAATTAAAAGTAATAGAACTAATAAAACACATTAACTTGTATCGATGTTATTTATTCACGAGAAAAATGGCCCGTTGAGGAAGGATACACCGGGCGCTAGGTTGATAGTGCTGTCTCTTTTCTCTAAACTAAAACCAACCCATCCCCCACACACACCTACCCCCAACCCCCAACCCCACCCCCCACCCACCCCACACACCCCCACCCCACCCCCACCTCAGCCCCACCCACCCACCCCCACCCCCACCCCCCAAAAAAACATGTCTACCGTCCCATTCAACGAAATATAATTATATACTTTTTTCCAGTGTCCGCCCCCTCCCCGAAAATTCTACCCCCGCCCCCGAAAATTTCAAGTACCCCCACCCCTCTCCGGGGAGGAAAAAGTCTGAAAGAAACACTGGGTGTTGCGCTTAGCCACTACGCGAAGAATTGCATTAAAGAAATTGCGAGAAAACCACTTTTTAGATTAGACACATTAATTAGGCGGTAATTTTATTATAGAGTATCGATGAGGAAACCACCCCACCCCACCCCCCACCCCACACACACCACCCCCCACCCCCCACCCCCCACCCCCCCACTCCCAAAAAAACATGTCTACCGTCCCATTCAACGAAATATAATTATATACTTTTTCCAGTGTCCGCCCCCCTCCCCGAAAATTCTACCCCCGCCCCCGAAAATTTCAATTACCCCCACCCCTCTCCGGGGAGGAAAAAGTCTGAAAGAAACACTGGTGTCGCGCTTAGCCACTACCCGAAGAATTGCATTAAAGAAATTGCAAGAAAACCACTTTTTAGATTAGACACATTAATTGGGGGGGGGGGGGGGGGGGGCTCAGACGTTCTTACGCGGGGGGTGGGGCTTCGCCCCTACCCGAAGAATTGTATGCAAGAAACTCTTCACGCAAACCATTTAGATTAGACACAATTTCCTTTTTTTCAATGTTTACGCGAGAATCAATGACGTCATATTACTGTGTGCACTCTCTGGTTTGAGATTATGTTCTACTCTATGCTAAATGTGTCGACGTCATATTTCGTTTTT